CCACTCCTCGCCTCTGGTTGATGGCAAGGCAAGCCCAAAGTAGCCTGGGGCTTACAGCTTCCAACACCTCATCGCCATGCTCCCACGCCCCCTTAATTTTTTTATTCAAAAGAAGAGCCACACCCTGTTGTTTGGCAGTCTCCTGCCCCGAGTAGAGGACTGTCCACCCCTTATGGTGGCAGGAGCCAGAGGCGGTCCACCGGACCTTCTGAATACCACAGAGATCCAGGCGGTACCGGTCCAGCTCCCGACAGAGGAGTGGCAGCCTCTCCTCCACAGTGAGCGTTCGAACATTCCACGTGGCCATACGAAGTGGTTTTTTGTTGTTTCTGGAGGAGCCCCGAGGGTAAGGATTTAGCCTACTGGCTCCGCCACTTGGAGATTGGCCAGGAGACGTCCATAGACGCCTGTCCCCCCAGTGCCTCTGGCACAAGCTTATTTATTAAATTTTGTCGTCGTGGTTTAATGGTAATTAATTTAAGGTGGAGGGGTTACCAGCCCCTCGCACACGTTGAGAGCCCCCATTTGGCCGTTGTGGTGGTTACAAACGCCATGAGGGGAAAGGGCCAATCGAAATTGGCCCTCCCCCCACAGCGCTGCCCACGACAGCGTTGCTCGTCCGGCACCACGAGTAGGTAGGGGGTTGTTTTGCCGGACTCCCTCACTCAACCACTCATTCACCCACAAAACCACTCACTCACCACACTGCGGGTCACAACAACAACAACCGCCATTCGCCACTAAGTGGCGGTGACATCACCACGACGTTTGTGCCAGGCCATGTGCACCTTGAGGTCACGTGAAGTGTCGACGCCCGCTGGCAGGAGGTCACGGGGCAGACCCAAGTGCCACAGGTCGACTGACTGAAATGACTGGCGGGTCCCAACAGCACACTCACTAACTCACTCAACCATTCATTCACCCACATCGCTCACTCACTCAACCACTTATTCACCCACAACATCACTCACTCGCCACACTGCGGGTCACAACAGCACACTCGTTCACTCACTCACTCAACCACTCATTAACCCACAACATCACTCACTCACACAACCACTCATTCACCCACAACATCACTCACTCACACAATCACTCATTCACCCACAACATCACTCACTCACCACACTGCGGGTCACACTTCTCTTTCTGCTTCTTCGCACTGCTCCGCTTTGAAATTCCCTCCCGTCGTCTCTTTTAATGCTTCAATGAATCGTTCAAAATTGTTTTTGTTGCACAAAAATTCCCGTGTAGCCAGTTACCCGGCCAGCTTGCGAGGGAGATCCGTGCTGCGTCAGCACAGAACGACAGCTTCAGAGTGACCCCTCCAGAGTAGCAGGCAACATTCGGGTCAGAATGCGTCGGAGGTACAAGGCAAATAAAACGTCTAAAGAACAAAGAATAGCAATATTCATAAAACATGCGTTAAAAAAAACACATAAAGCTAACAACGAAAACAATACCAACAGGCACATTTGCGCCAACAACGAGGAGCAGGATGGAGGTGATGATGAGCGGTCAGGGAGGAGCGCCGTGCGGAGCGAACGCGATCGGGAGAATAAATCAACAAGAGCCACGTGAGCACGTGACGAGAGTGCAGCACGCGGGTTGCGTGCAGGTGCAGCACTCGAACCGTGCTCTAGGAGCTCGAAGTCACTGGGGTGGGGGGCAGCAGAGCCTGAGCTGAGAGGCGAGGGCGGTAACGTGGGGCAGCAGCAGCAACAGCAGCAGCATAATAAAGTATTAAAGCTTTTGTGACTGCATAAAAATTACTCATTGGTTTTTTTCGGTAAAGTCACGTATGTAGAAATACAATTGTAACATTATTTTATTGTATTTCTACATACGTGACTTTACCGAAAAAAACAAGAGCAGCAGCAGCAGTTTGGAGTGTGAAGAGCCCGGTTTGTTTGAGTCAGAACAAAGGAGGCACTCCGCGTGTCCCAGCCGATAATTTATGGAGTTCGGAGGTCCTTTACATATTTGCCAGATGCGTTTGAAAGGACTTTAAGGGTAAAGACACACCAAGTGATGGTTTCTTCGGAAGCCCAGTATAGGAACAAATTGTAGGTTACACAGAAGTTAACCTAATACAATATGTACGTTAATATTATCTCTTGCAATGCTTATATTGAAGTATGTTCCTGGCATCTTTGATGCTTTGGACATTTTGGCTCGCGCTCAGCAGCTCTGTTAAATAAACCTCCACTTGGCAGCGTGTGGGGGTGGCGAGAGGAGCGGGGGGTGGGGGTCGGGTGGTGTCACTGCGTTGCGCTCTCCCAGAGCCGCGGGCACCTGCGCTGGGACCGGCCGTGCGGAGCGGCGGCGCTCTCGGATGCAACCCCCCAAAATCAATCGCTGCCCGCCCGCCCACCCGCGGTGAGCGCAGGATCGACGTGCGTGGGGGAAGGAGGGGTTGCATTTTTTGTTGTTGTAGAAAATAATCTCTTGTCAATGCCACCACAGCGTGATCCAGTGAGAGAGAGAGAGAGGGGAAAAACCAAGAAACACAAAAAAACGCGCTTCTGAGCGAAAGTGATTTTGAATCATTTATCAGTCCCTTCTGAGCTAAGGATGTGAGGATTAGCAGGGCTTAATTTCTCATGGGATATTTTCCGAGTCGCCGGTCGACTTGGGTAGCTACCCGAGCCCTAGCGACGTGTATACTGGATGTGGTGTACCGGGTGGGACTCTCAATCCGGAGGTCGCTTGTCCGTTCTCCCTGCGCGGCTGCTGAAACGACGGAGCAAGTTTCTTTAAATCCACCGTCTGTGTCCACGCAGCGGTGTGAATGGCTGCAGCACCGTGGGTTCTAATACGAGGCGAAGGGGCAGCCCTTCCTTTGCAACGATCGCTCCATTGTCCCTTGCTCAACTGGGTTCTGGACCCCGAGCTGCAGGGTGCGACGAGAGGTGAGGGACGTGGGGAAGGCCGAGAGGGTTGCAGTCGTCGACTCGCGGTGGTGTGACGACGGCGTGGGGGGGTGAGGGTCTCGGTGGCGATTGGGGTGAGGAGGCGCGGGCAGAGGGCGAGAGGTCGGGATCACTGAGCGCCACACAAGGGCTGCCCGTTCCACACCCGGTGGACTTGTGCGTGAACTCGCGTGTATAATTAAAGAGGGAAAAAACGGTAGAGAGTAAGGGGTCGTCCATAAATGACGTCACGCACCTGGGGGGGGGAGGGGTGGGGCGGGGGTTAGACAATTGTGACGATGTGTGACGAGGGGGGGGGGGTGTTGAGAAATGTGACGTCACATCAAAATGCGCAACTTTAAATAAATATAGACAACACGTTCTATTTATTTCATAGACTGTTTAATAAATGTTTTCTCCTACAACATCAAGAGTTCAGCGCCACATCAAATACGCACTACATTGACAATAGTATAAGGCGATTTGAAGCATGTTTTTTTTTGGGGGGGGGGGGGAGCAGAGCTTTGTGACGTCATATATGAGGAGGGGTCTGACTTTTTGTGACGCCGTGTGACGAGGGGGGGGGAGGTCAAAAATCGTCCAAAATCGCGTGACGTCATTTATGGACGGGCCCCTAACTTAAAATCTATGTTCTCTGTGGAATAATAAACACTTAAGTGTGTGGAGCTTTTCTGATCAAATAATTCGTTATTCACGCAAACAATGGACAATCGGGGTGCTTGTATTATTCATCATAAGTTAATTTTGGGCTTCTTATTACATCTTTGGTGTGGGATCTACGGTAATGTTATGGTGGAGCGAGTGGGATAAGCCTTCAGGGTGATGATACCAGAGAACAAACTAAAATCTGAGTCAACACCGAGCCCTGCGATGCTGCTGACAACCCCAGCTATGTGCGCGTACAGATAAACGCAATGTACAGTACCATTAAAGCGATGTTTAATTTATAAACATTTGAAAAGGCAAACATAAATATTTCAGTCAAGTCCCCCCTCTACCTTTAAAAACAACATTCTATATTTATCTCAAAAAAGTCAATGTATCCCGCATTTTTTTTCAACATGAGGCAGTGCTGATCTTACTGCTCAACCACCGTCATCATCAGCTACGCTCTATTTACTGCTGGATGAAGGCCTTCCCAGGCCACCACCAGCTCTCATAGTCCTGCGATGTCACGGATCACCAAGCAATTGCAAACCAGCTGATTTTTCTCGACAACCGGCAAAGCCCAGCCAAGGGTAACATTCTCCATTCCTACGACGGGAGCCAATATATCCATCGGACGAACACGTTTGCACAATTCTCTTTATCGCGTTCTTTTCACCCACACGAGAAGACTGCTCATCTGAAACGACCGAGGCGTTTTGCATGAAATCTATTTAAAACAATCAGCCGGAAAGCTGCTTGCGGTCTTCAGACTCTATGAAGAGTAGCAGTTCTCAACCCGTGTCGTGGCTCCCCCTGGCTTGTCATGGGGAAGCGCAGCTGCGGCATGGATACCGTTCAGGGAAATTATTGAATGTCCATGGGGAACGTCAGCACCGAGGTGCGGTGACACATTACACGAAAAGACCACGTGAACCACGTGCCTTACTGACACCACGTGCCTTGCTGACACCACGTGCCTTACTGACACCACGTGCCTTACTGGCACCACGTGCATTACTGACGCCACCTGCCTTACTGGCACCACGTGCCTTACTGACACCACGTGCCTTACTGACACTACGTGCCTTACTGACACCACGTTGACTCGAGGCGCGGTCTCTCTCCTTGAGTTGTGGTTTTGGTATCCTGGGGTGGAGGGGCGGGGGGCGGTTGGGTGACCTCTGGTCTTGACTGGGAGGCCACCACACCGACAATATTGAGAAGCCCGTATTTCTCAGTCACTGCCCGGCTCAGGCTCAAATTGAGCCGGCTCAAAGCCATGCACTCAACTTAAGCCGGCTCTGAGCCATGGTGTCATGTGAGTGCCCGAGGCTGCGCATCAGAGAGATCGTGTCACATTGCCTCCTAACTCCGTGTTGCCCCCCCATCCCCGCAACCCCCTCCCCGGCGTCCGTGCAGCAGCGGCCTGTGCGGCAGTCCCTGAGCGAGGCGCTGTGCCGCGAGTCGCACTGGAAGAGCCTGGTTCTCTCCGTGCTCATGTACGGCTGCCTGGGCGCGCTTGCGTGGTGTCAGCTGACGCGCGTCACCGTCTTCACGTTCGACGGGCCGTTCCGCGCGGGCCGCCCGCTCGCCTACCAGCACAGCCCGTGCTCCAGCGGCTACGTGTACATCCCGCTCGCCTTCCTGCTCATGCTCTACGTGGTGTACCTAGTGGAGTGCTGGCACTGCTACGCGCGCGGCCAGACGCAGCAGCGCGCCGAGACGGGCGGCGTGTACGAGCGCGTCGAGCGCATGCAGGCGGCCACGCCGTGCATCTGGTGGAAGGCGATCAGCTACCACTACGTGCGCCGCACGCGCCAGGTCACGCGCTACCGCAACGGGGACGCCTACACCACCACGCAGGTCGGCGCGCGCGCACTCACTCGTGCAATCACTCGCTCACTCACTCACTCGTGCAATCACTCACTCGTGCAATCACTCACTCACTCGTGCAATCACTCACTCACTCGTGCAATCACTCACGCACTCACTCGTGCAATCACTCACTCACTCGTGCAATCACTCACTCACTCGTGCAATCACTCACTCGTGCAATCACTCACTCACTCACTCGTGCAATCACTCACTCACTCGTGCAATCACTCACGCACTCACTCGTGCAATCACTCACTCACTCGTGCAATCACTCATTCACGCACTCACTCGTGCAATCACTCACTCACACGTGCAATCACTCACTCACTCACTCGCTCACTCACTCACTCGTGCAATCACTCACTCGTGCAATCACTCACGCACTCACTCGTGCAATCACTCACTCACACACTCACTTGTGCAATCACTCGCTCACTCACTCACTCGTGCACTCACTCACTCACTCGTGCAATCACTCACTCACTCACTCGTGCAATCACTCGCTCACTCACTCACTCGCTCACTCACTCACTCGTGCAATCACTCACTCTCTCACTCGTGTAATCACTCACTCACTCACTCGTGCAATCACTCGCTCACTCACTCACTCGTGCAATCACTCACTCACTCATGCAATCACTCACTCACTCGTGCAATCACTCGCTCACTCACTCACTCGTGCAATCACTCGCTCAATCACTCACTCGTGCAATCACTCACTCTCTCACTTGTGCAATCACTCACTCACTCACTCGTGCAATCACTCGCTCACTCACTCACTCGTGCAATTACTCACTCGTGCAATCACTCACTCACACACTCACTCGTGCAATCACTCACTCACTCACTTGTGCAATCACTCACTCACTCACTCGTGCAATCACTCATTCACTCACTCGTGCAATCACTCGCTCACTCACTCGTGCAATCACTCGCTCACTCACTCACTCACTCGTGCAATCACTCACTCACTCGTGCAATCACTCACTCACTCACTCGTGCAATCACGCACTCACTCACTCACTCGTGCAATCACTCACTCACTCGTGCAATCACTCACTCACGCACTCACTCGTGCAATCACTCACTCACTCACTTGTGCAATCACTCGCTCACTCACTCGTGCAATCACTCGCTCACTCACTCGTGCAATCACTCGCTCACTCACTCGTGCAATCACTCACTCACTCACTCGTGCAATCACTCGCTCACTCACTCACTCGTGCAATCACTCGCTCACTCACTCACTCACTCGTGCAATCACTCGCTCACTCACTCACTCGTGCAATCACTCACTCACTCACTCGTGCAATCACTCACTCGTGCAATCACTCACTCACTCACTCGTGCTATCACTCGCTCACTCACGCACGCGTGCACTCATGGAGCCGCCGTCCGAGCGTTCTCACCATCATTTATTATCTCTGTCATGGTTTCCGTTCGTGAAGTCACCCAAAGAGGCACTAAAATAAATATTGGTGGGGGGGGGGGGGCGAATGCCCCCTTTTGCTCCCACATCCCCAAGTGTTTAGAGAGCACCAGCTGTCCGCACTCCAGAACGGTTCGACACCGCCGTCACAGAGCACATTTGAGATTTTTTTATTTATATAAGATTGTAAATTAATAATTATTCGATGCAAAAAAAAACATGATGATTACGTCTACTTTTAATTTTAGATGCACGTATTTCTGACCCAATTTACCCCTCCAAAATGTTCAGCTCGATGCGCCACTGAAACTTTGTGAAGATTTAACTAAAGGAAGCCTACATAAGGGACAAATTGAAACCAGTAACTTCAGATAAAATCTCTTATCTGGCATCAATGAGATACACACACACACACACCTTCCACATTGTGAAGAGTGTTTGACAGTCGGCTCTGCACTCTGCACTCGTATACATCATCTTGATTCATCTCTTTCGCGAATCGCTGAGCCGGTGGATTAGCGTTTCCGAGTAAGAGCGGCACTAACACGAGCAACCAAGTACAAGTAACAACGAGCAGACTTGAAATCACTTTGCACTGTTGATTCATGCGAAATCAGATCTCCGCTTTAGATATACAATTGTTATTTACAAACGCTTAGCCATCGCCATCGTCGTCATGTGGTGGAAATCAATGGGTCCTCGTCGCTCAACGGACGCGTGGGTTCACGCGAGCGCGGCGCGTGTCTCTCCCTCCTCAGGTCTACTACGAGCGAGTCAACACGCGGGTGGCCGAGGCCGAGTTCGACTACGTGAACTGCGGCGTCAAGGACATCTCCAAGGGGCTGATGGAGCTGGAGCAGCACCCGGTGACCAAGCTGCGCTTCACCAAGTGCTTCAGCTTCGCCAACGTGGAGTCGGAGAACGCGTACCTCACGCAGCGCGCCCGCTTCTTCACCGAGAACGAGGGCCTCGACGACTACATGGAGGCGCGCGAGGGCATGCACCTCAAGAACGTCGAGTTCAAGGAGTGCGTCGTGGCCTTCTCCGACCCCGAGCGGCCGCCGTGGTACGTGTCGCGCCGCGTCTTCTGGCTGGCGGCCGTCGTGATGCTGTCGTGGCCGCTGCGCGTGCTCATCGAGTTCCGCACGGCGTACGTGCACTATCACGTGGAGAAGCTCTTCGGGCTGGACTACGTGCCCGGCGTGACGCCCTCCGACGAGCCGGCACCCTGCCGCCGCATCCCGCGCGTCAGCACCGTCGACAGCATCGAGCTGGAGTGGCGCATTCGCTCCAACCGTCAGCTGGTGCCCAGCTACTCCGAGGCGGTGCTCATGACCGTGGGGGCGGCGAGCGCGGCATGCGGCGCCGGCGGGGGCGCCGGTGGCAGCGCCGGCACCCTCGCTGGCAGCGGTTCGAGCTTCATCCGGCACTGCGAGCGGTGCCACCGTACGCGCAGCAGCCTCAGCATCTTCTCGCGCGGCGCGTCGCAGAGCAACGGCAACGGCAACACGGCGGCCACCAACACCACCACGTGCGGCTCGCGCTTCTCGCTGGCGGCCAGCCGCTTCTCGCTGGCGCGGCTCTACGGCTCGTGGCGCAACGGGCTGTGCGGCAGCGGCGGCCGGGTGGCGGACGCCAACGGCGACTGTAGCTGCGGCGGCGAGAACTCGCGCTGCGTGTCACGGCACCACATCGTGGCGCACGAGGAGCCGCCGCCCGCCTACTGCGACGCGCTCTACTTCCCCGTGCTCATCGTGCACCGCACCGAGGGCTGCGTCGGCTCTGAGCCGGCGTCCACGCAGACGCCCTCCCAATCCCTGCAGAGCCGCGGACACAGCATGGAGACGATTCTGTAGCGGGCGCCCAACCCCTGCGGGGCGGAGCCGTCGAGTGAGCGCGCGGGAGGCCGCGGCGCTGTGTTCCGCGGCCCGGAGGGGCCCAGGATGCGGAGACGGCGGACAGGGGACCCCATTGAATTCATTCATCGCACCGGGGCCGATGCCGCCCACGCCGAGGCACTGGCCTGAACCCCCTCTCCCGCTCGCCCACCAGAAGCCACCCATGCGATGGAGAGTTATCCGCTTGTAGCAGTTACGCCGCTATGCGGCGACGGCTATCCGACGATACAATAAGCAAGGCAGACTGTAAACAGCAAAATAGGACCAAATCTTACATGTATTGTAAATAGCGTGCTCAGATTTCGTACCGGGTCCATGACACACCGCAGCTTCACATTGCGATACAGAACACGCTCGCCTTTACATAGGGTGGTGCCTCTCTCTCGGCAGCGAGATGAACACGAGGTGCCGGAGCCTAATATTTATCTGTGAACCGAATGGACGTCGTGAATGACACACACACACACACACAAAGATGTTTACTGGAGTTTTATGACGATGTGCTATATACTAGTTACAAAAAATAATTAACCGGGGTTTTTTTTACATTACTTTATAAAAAATGTATTATCGCACACACCACGGTTTCAAATGAATTCCACTCGTGCGCTACATTGTACGCAGAGCCTGCTCGTGCAAACCGCTAAGACGAGCGAGGAACGGTGAGACGTTCACGACGTGGAAGAGTGCAACGCTGGAGTGGTGCATCATCAGTGGGGTCAGCGGAAGCGCTTTTGGGTATAATCTGAGGAGCATTTATCGAGCGATGGTATGTCACGTTTAGAATGATTGCTCCTAAAAGCATGATTACACGTCTTTGTACTCCTGATATCTATTGACGAATTCATCAGTAGCTTGAATTGAAAATATACTCACCAATTAACGAAGAGTAAAGAACAAGCTGTATGTTAAGACTTATGAGATATCGTTATATCAAGGCTCACATAAGTCAAAGTGCTTTTTCCTATATAATACATTCACAGCACATGAAAATTGATATTTATATGTCATTGACAACTTTGATTTAATGCATTTTTCCTTCACATATTTTGTAATACTGTGTCGACGTTTAATTTAAAATATCGTGTTTTTTATTTTATAAGATCATTCAGTTTCACTGTCCTACGACGAAATTATACGGTACAAATTTTTTTGAAAACCAAATTTAAGATGTGTAATATCATCACTTTTCCCCCTGAAATGTGACTATTTTGACACTCAACAAATTACAATTCCCAAATTCATACTTAAGAACCAGCAAGCGGTGTTTGGACGCATGCTGAGTTGCAGTTCAAATTATTCTGGACATCCGTGTGCAGACAAACGGCAAAAATAACTGCTCTGCTCTGCCGTTTGGCTGTTTTTCCATAAATAATTCATGCTTCGCGCGTGATTTATGTTGTCATAGTAAGCTTTCTATAGTGAGAAACGGGCACATCGGGACATACATTTAACTGTTAACGCGTCGCCGTCAATCGGTATGTATCACGTGACACATGGCCTTTTGGAAGTCAGGAGTGCCTCGTCATGGAATAATGCTTTGGGAAGTAGGAGTGGGGATCGGAAGAGCGGATATTAACATAGCATCATCCGGGAATTTTGTGAAATTCAATAAGTGATTTAAAATTGGAAACACATTATGAAGGTGATGTATATCGGGGTCAATATGTGTACAATGGGTCAATGTATTGAGCTAAATGAACAATTATAGATAGTTAAAGGCATGGTACAAGCAAAAGGAGTATAAATATAGTGGCAGACGTCCAAGCAGGTTACTGCTAACCGCACCTCTGCAAAGTGGCACAGGAAACAAGGCGATGCATTCTTAGCGATGACGGCACGCGCACAATTTATTGCGTTAAAACGAGGAAAGTACCCAAGGTAACTGATGTTTATTCTATTACATAGAAACACAAATGTGTCGTCTTTAAGCGTGTGTGTGTGTGTTACGTAAAGCGAAAGAACAATTCCGCCTTAGCTAGTGACCTATGTTGTTATTTAGTTGCTGGCAAGTTAATGTGAATTCGGTAAAAAAAGTGTGAAAAACCCACAGTACTTGGTTTTTTGATGAACTGTGACGTTTTTGGGTCTGCTACTCAAGTTTATCAAAAGTGCATGCAATCAGGACTCCAAGTCAGTCGATGGCAAATTCCAGGCCAAGGTTTTGCGAGGCACCTGTATGTAAATGTCGTTTGTTTGACCAGACGATGGTCCGTTGAGTTGGATTCCACTATCATTAACTTAACACAACCATTCCAAAGCTCTGTAGGCACAGAGCGACAAAATGTTGAAGAGGGGATTAAACACTGTCTTTAGATGTTGTGTTTATTATGTTTGTGTGTGAAATTAACTGCACATGAGTGACACTGTATTTTTTATTATGCTTGTTTACCCAGCGAAGCCTCACTGAATCCTTTTTCAGGAGTGTCCTGCCGAGTTTTCATAGTAGGCGGCGATGCTGCTGCTGTGTAATTCCAATTGAGTAATTTGCAGGTAATTTTTCAGCATTGGGATGTTTTGGCCAATAACCGTTACATTGTGTGATAATTTTATCTATGGGAAAAAAAAACGGAGAACCCAGAGGAAATCCATGCAGAACGGTCGGAGAATATACAAACTCCTTGCAGAAGGGCACCCACGTTGGGAGTCGAACCCAGGCTCTGCTTGCTGTGATGCACAAGTGTTACCATCGCGCCACCGTAACTTGAGATAGTTCAGCCGATGTAGTGTTGCTGCGTGGTGTAACAAACTGCAGACTCCGGTATTTCCAGCCACGTGGCTTTCATCCAAAAATCTCATCCGAGGACGCAATTTTGTGCTGAGCCGTGGCTGTTTGTGTACCTCTCTCTCAGCACCAGGATGCACTTTAACGTATGATACGTCTGTTAGTATAATTGAGACCGCTCAATGCACACTATGTATCTGTAGTTAATTTATCGTTTGGCAGCTGTGGAGATGCATGTATCACTCACATCTCAGGACACTGGTATCCACAATTCACAGTCCAACTTAATGTCAAATGCGATCATGTACGTAAAAGGTGTAAAGTCATTTAATTTTGAATATTACTGATATGGGCAATAAAAACAAATCAAAGTATTCGGTTGTCAGTCTATTATTTTTTTGCTTATGTAGTTTGTCATCTAAAATGTAGATTATGGTGAAAAAAAGTGTGTTACAAATCTGAATTGTATTTATCTGTTGCAGCTCTCATTGTAGGTGTGTGAATTCAAGATGGATATGCCCTCTCTCCCTGTGTCCTGCCATCGCATATGAACCAGTGGCGTGCCTGTTCAGTGTGCAGGCGGTGCAACTGCAGTGGGGCCGGTGGGTCTGAGGGTCCCAGTTAGCGGGCAATGAAGAGGGGTCATATATTGGACAAGGAGAGGGGGGATGCATCAACATTCTCGTACCACACTCCTCCACCACTGCTGTGAATGACCTCACCGAGCTACGGGGGTTGTAAACAATCCTCGTTTGCCAGTTCATATTTAAAACGCGTGCACTCCAGCAACCGCCAACGCGTTATTTAGTGTCATAATTCTATAACAAGATGAGATTCATAATTACACGAGACTAATGCCAAGCAATTACCACAGAGGGTTCTGCATTGGCAAGGAAGCTGAAGCACCCAGAGAAGACCGGTGTATAAATACGAGAGGGTGCCACTCATCATCACTGCCATCTCCTGGCCACCTTGTACCCCAGTCGTACAGCACTTGGCAAGCCGTGGTGGCGGTCACCCATCCAAGGAATAATCAGCTACAAAGCTGCTTAGCTTCTGAGAACTAACGAAGACAGGGGGCGTTCAGTGTATTGTATACACAACGAGCTTAACTATCCGGCTTCGCCCGGGACTTGGATTCACCACGCCCGGCCGCCTTTGTCCCCCCAGTGGCGATGTTCACACAGCAGAGCAGTTACTCGTTTGATTCTGAGTCGACCTAGGGGAGGCCCAGGACCGGTAAAAATAATCGTCACCGGTGGTGGCCATGAGCGGGAATCGAACTCGGGTCGCCGGGTTCGTAGCGCAGCGCGCTAACCACTACACGACAATGCGTTACGCTTCCACATGCGCGGGTCACGTGACAGATTTGACGTCACAGCTCACTTGTGCAAAAAATATATGCATTATTGAGCTCCCCCCCCCCCAAAAAAAAGTATATTTTTATAATGTTTGCATGGTGTACAGTCTGGAAAGTACCCACATGGCAAATTTCAAGTTTGTTGGATGTCGGTAATTACGCTAGACATTTTGAACAGACACACATAATCACAACTTTGCCTTTTACATATATGGATAAAAACAGTATTGGTCCAGTCGCTCACTCATCGACAGTCAATCGCCTCCTTGGGGGCCGTCCATAAATGACGTCACGCGATTTTGGACGATTTTTGACCCCTCGTTACACGGCGTCACAAAAATTCAGACCCCCCCCCGCCCCTCAAATATGACGTCACAAAGCTCTGCCCCCCCAAAAACCACATTTCCATTTTGAAAATAAAACATGCTTCAAATCTCTTTAAACTATTGTCATAGTAGTGCGTATTTAATGTGCCGCTGCACTCTGACGTTGTAGGAGAAAACATTTATATAAAAAAAGTCTATTTAATGAAGTAGAACGTGTTGCCTATATTTATTTAAAGTTGCGCATTTTGATGTGACGTCACATTTCTTAAACCCCAACCCCCCCCACCCCCCAGGTGCGTGACGTCATTTATGGACGGCCCCTTTGGCCATACTTCACCACTTTGGTCGATTCGCGTCTGAAAGGACGGAGCGATTAAAGCAGCTCGGGTGCAGGTTCCGGGCGGATTGTTGCATCGCATAACCGTGGCAGGTGGGGAGACCTTCATCCAACTGTGGATTGAGCACGGCTGCTGCTGCTGCTGATGACTTTGCCTGGTCATCACACTGGCATTGTCTCCGCACACACAACATCACAAACGCGGAGTGTTCGTCCATCAGCCTATTGGCTTTCCAGACCCAACATTTTGCGTGCGCGAGGAAACATAACGAATGCTGCTTATATTTTATATTCTGCGTACGGTGCTCCACAGCAGCGCATAAACGAGTGTGCATAGAGAGTCGTACAATAGTGCAACTTAAACATCATAATAGGGTTGTTCCCCTTTTTTCTGGCAACAAAACTGAAATCTTTTTTACAAGGATTAATGTCTGCGTTAACCACAATACTTGCAGTCAAAATTGCAAACAAAAAACATACTATGATAACATATGGATTCACGATAATATATGCATTGTCCTTGAAACTGATTGGTACACAACCAGAGACAGCTTTCTTTAGAGCCTCGTCTCAATTATTATATTTTGGTACTGGCAAAGGAGGTCTAATGATGTAGATGTTTAACCCCGAGCCCTCATTACTTTGATAGTGGCATTGTCTTTGAGCTGTGTGACGCCTTTTGGCGTCATCTGGTCGAGCACCAATTGAGACGAGGCTCAGAGGCTCAAAAGAAAGCCGTCTCTGGTGTGGACCAATCAGTTTCAAGGACAATGCATCATATTATCAGTGTGTTTATTGTTGGCATTTTGACTGCAAGTATTGTGGTTAATGCAGACATGAATCCTCGTAAAAAAAGGTTTAAGTTTTGTTGCCAGAAAAAATGGGGAACAACCCTATTATTATATTTTGGTACTGGCAAAAGGAGGTCTGATGATGTAGAAACTTAAACACCGTTTACAATTTTACATGGAGCGAGCGTGCCAACATGATCTGACAGTCGGCAAGCATTTAGGTTAACAAGCCAGACTGCCGCCGCTTTGCGAACACATCGTCTTAGTGATGCTGCTGTTAGCAAGTGGCGCAGAGGCCCACGGGTGACAACAATGACTCGGCGTTCGCGTATCAACAACGAGCAAAGTGAGAAGGTGATTCTCACGGCTCCTGAGTAAAGTGAGGAGGAGATTCTCACGGCTCGCGAGCAAAGTGAGGAGGAGATTCTCACGGCTCCTGAGCAAAGTGAGGAGGTGATTCTCACGGCTCCTGAGCAAAGTGAGGAGGTGATTCTCACGGCTCCTGAGCAAAGTGAGGAGGTGATTCTCACGGCTCGCGAGCAAAGTGAGGAGGTGATTCTCACGGCTCGCGAGCAAAGTGAGGAGATTCTCACGGCTCGCGAGCAAAGTGAGGAGGTGATTCTCACGGCTCCTGAGCAAAGTGAGGAGGAGATTCTCACGGTTTTACCCTTTTAACTGGCACAAAAACTGACACCTTTATTCAAGGCATCATGTTTGCAATAACCACAACACAAGCAGTCAAAATGCAAACAAAAAAGACAACTCTGATAATAATATGCACTGTCCTTGAATTTTATTGGTCCACACCCGAGACGGCTTTTCTTAGAGCCTAGTCTCCATTGGTGTTGGACCAGAAGACGCCAAAAGGCGTACAACTCAAAAACAGCGCACTATCAGAGACCAATCAAATTCAAGGACAGTGCATATTATTATCAGAGTTGTCTCTTTTGTTTGCATTTTGACTGCTTGTGTTGTGGTTATTGCAAACATGATGCCTTGAATAAAGGTGTCAGTTTTTGTGCCAGTTAAAAGGGTAAAAAACTATTACTAGATTCTCACGGCTCCTGAGCAAAGTGAGGAGGTGATTCTCACGGCTCCTGAGCAAAGTGAGGAGGTGATTCTCACGGCTCCTGAGCAAAGTGAGGAGGTGATTCTCACGGCTCCTGAGCAAAGTGAGGAGGAGATTCTCACGGCTCCTGAGCAAAGTGAGGAGGAGATTCTCACGGCTCCTGAGCAAAGTGAGGAGGTGATTCTCACGGCTCCTGAGCAAAGTGAGGAGGAGATTCTCACGGCTCGCGAGCAAAGTGAGGAGGTGATTCTCACGGCTCCTGAGCAAAGTGAGGAGGAGATTCTCACGGCTCCTGAGCAAAGTGAGGAGGTGATTCTCACGGCTCCTGAGCAAAGTGAGGAGGTGATTCTCACGGCTCCTGAGCAAAGTGAGGAGGTGATTCTCACGGCTCCTGAGCAAAGTGAGGAGGAGATTCTCACGGCTCCTGAGCAAAGTGAGGAGGTGATTCTCACGGCTCCTGAGCAAAGTGAGGAGGAGATTCTCACGGCTCGCGAGCAAAGTGAGGAGATTCTCACGGCTCCTGAGCAAAGTGAGGAGGTGATTCTCACGGCTCCTGAGCAAAGTGAGGAGGAGATTCTCACGGCTCCTGAGCAAAGTGAGGAGGTGATTCTCACGGCTCCTGAGCAAAGTGAGGAGGAGATTCTCACGGCTCGCGAGCAAAGTGAGGAGATTCTCACGGCTCCTGAGCAAAGTGAGGAGGTGATTCTCACGGCTCGCGAGCAAAGTAAGGAGGAGATTCTCACGGCTCCTGAGCAAAGTGAGGAGGTGATTCTCACGGCTCGCGAGCAAAGTGAGGAGGAGATTCTCACGGCTCCTGAGCAAAGTGAGGAGGTGATTCTCACGGCTCTTGAGCAAAGTGAGGAGATTCTCACGGCTCCTGAGCAAAGTGAGGAGGAGATTCTCACGGCTCGCGAGCAAAGTGAGGAGGTGATTCTCACGGCTCCTGACCAAAGCGAGGAGGTGATTCTCACGGCTATCCACGCGCAGCACTCCGGGTTGTCAACATTCGGAATCGATTCCCTTAAGTGCGCGCTTAGATTCCGCTTCGGCGATATGCACGAAATCGAATCGTTACCAAGTCTCGGGAGGAATCGCGCGCACGAGCTGAATTCAACATTGACGGCTGCTGCTGATGATGATGCTGCTGGTGGCTCTATGTTGGAACCTGGGAGTCTACTAATTCCAGGTGATAGTTTGCGATGTCCTATTATCTCCATCGTTATCCGACCAGCCTTACGAGGCGTACAGCCGCGTCCATTCATATACGCAAAGCGGCGGGGTTGTGGTACAGTGAGCCACGCGTGCCGCGGTGCCGTTGAGCGCAAAGCCTGCGGCCTGCGTGCGATGCTTCGCACTGTGAGGAGGTTGCAGGCGATAGCCCTCACAATTTCGATTTAAAGCTTTCGTGACTGCAAGGATTCATCTTCCTTGGTTCTTTCGGTAAAGTCACCACGTAGAATGAGAATAACATAATAAATTGATCAAATAAAATAACACAATAATATTCTCACGACGTTTCGGCCACAACACAAGCGGCCTTCATCAGGTGAAGGGGACGAGACAGTCCTCCAGACAGTCTCGTCTCCTTCACCTGATGGAGGACTGTCTCGTCCCCTTCACCTGATGAAGGCCGCTTGTGTTGTGGCCGAAACGTCGTGAGAATATTATTGTGTTATTTTACTTTATCAATTTATTATTTTATTCTCATTCTACCTGGTGGTGACTTTACCGAAAGAACCAAAGAAGCCCTCACAAAGTATTCACCACTGTAAAGACAGCGGCTGTAATTAAAAGCGGCTTTTGTCAATTCCGCCCGCTGATTGACCGCGCGGTCCCGTTGCGCGACCACGCTGTGGGGAAACTGATTAAGCGCGCAGTTGGATTCCAGGCCGCGGATAACATCAGCAGTGAGTGATGTCTGAGCCGGGTCTTTGGGATTCCGTTCCCCACTTCGCCAAAACCACACGACGTTGGGGAAGGCGTTTTCACGCGGCGTGATGGCAAAGACACGCACAGGAATACGTTCGCAACCTGCTCGCTGTACTTTACAGTTGCTGCCCACATCCCCAGCCACGGCCGCGTTTTGGGAGTTTCCAAAGTGCTGGGGCCACAACTTTGCGTTCCTGCTACACCTTGCAGTGTTCACCAACGGGGGGCTGATCACCAAGTACGAGGTAGGGGGCCATCCATTTAGCAGGTACGCAAAAATCTGTCAAAACTTGACCCCCGATATTTAATCCACGCAGAAACGATCAAGGATTAATAATATTAACGTGTTTTAGCAAACAGTTCACCGCCGGACTAACTAATTTGCTAATTTGAAGGCCAATGTAAACAAATTACTATCGAGGCTTCACCCCCCCCCCCCCCCGTTTCCAATGCGTACATTGTCAGTAGACCCCCCCCCCTTACGCAAGCGAACGCATTTGGGTTAACCCCCCCTCCATGCGTACGTACTAAATGGATGGCCCCCTAGAAATGGGGGTGGAATTCTGTGTGCTGATGTTATCCGCGAGGTGTCCTGCTCCACGCCTTGTTTAATATCTCTACACCTGTCTGCCTGTGTCTCTCTGCGTCTCTTTTTCTCCGTGCGTGCCTGTTTATATGTGTCTTACTCTGTGCTTGTCTCTCCGTGTCTCTGTCTCTCGCTGCGTCTCTTACTGCGTTTCCTCTTAACACAGCGGTCCCAAACCTTTTTGGCACCAGGGACCGGTTTCGTGAAGACAATTTTTTTCACGGACCGGGCTGGGGGTTCATCATTGGGTTTACCACCTTTTCAAAGAAGCTCTCTAGCGACGTTTTTTTTTTTACTCATTTTGGCTACTAGGGGTTAGAGCTTGTGGGCTTACCAACAATGTGACTGAGACAAGTGCGCGGTGCGGGAAAGTGGCGCGGACGGAAGTGGTAAATAATAAAATAATGGGCGGGCCACGTGCGGACTCACCGCCCTCACCTCCTGCTGTGCAGCCCGGTTCCTAACAGGTCACGGACCGGTACCGGTTCGCGGTCTGGGGGTTTGGGGACCCCTGCTCTAACACATCCACGCCGAGGCAGGGTAGGCCTCTCAGTACGAGTGGGTTTCCTCTATTTGCCATGCTGAACCGGAATCAAGCCATGATAAATTGACCTCACCAGACGTATGAACCTAGATTGGGGCCAAGCAGGGCCAGGTGCATTTCTCGGGAAATTTTATCTCAGTACACTGAAGACAAAGTTACTGCCATCATCCACATGCGTCTCGAGTCGTGCATCGCATATGATGGCAGTGGTATGGCTCTGCTTCTGCAGTGGAAAAGCATCCCGGCACTTCCTGAGCCGCGCTGGGCTGGCTCGGCACGGCCCCGGCATGACTCGGTCGTGTTGTGTCAAAGAGATATCTGTCTCTCAGCAATCCATACGAATGGCAGTGGAGTTGTCTCATGGCAAATCTCGTGCTGCTCGCCAACAGGCCGCGCGAGGCGGGCAAGCCAGCAAGGATGCTCGCCCGGCCGAAGCCCGGGGAGTCGGAGGAGGACCTGCTGCGCTTCCAGCGCGAGTTCCTGGCAGCGGGTGCTACGCCGGCTGTGTCAGTGCTCAAACGTGCTGACAAGCGCAAGGGCGGCGAGGCCGGAGGTGCCGGGCCCCAGGGAGCCGCGGGCCGTGACGTCGTCTCTCCGCAGGGTAAAGCATAAGTAATTTATTTGCTCATTCAGGTTCGTCATTTGTCCGGGAGAGTCTGACCGAGTCTCAAAGCTCTTTCAGGAGGGTCCTTCATTGGGTTGATTGGCCAATTCTATTTTTACGTGGGAGGAAATCGGAGAGCCTGGAGAGACTGGAAGTTTCCACCATGCTAACACACCTAGTAAATAACCATGCTTGGAAAGGATACCCGTAAATGAATGCATTAAAGTGGAAATATTAACAAAAAACTAAATAAATCCATTCAGCGTAAATTATATGTAAATCAGTGTAAAGTTACTATTATTTTAAGTATTTTCAGTATGCTAGATATTGCCTATAACTGGAAAAGGCTCTCCCCCCAATAAGTCTGGCTTTGTGAGGTTTTTTGGTCAAATATTTGTTCATGTTTTATCAAAAATGTTTTATAATTAGCTTGTTTACCCAGGAAAGCCTCACTTAGTCTTTCTAAGGAGGGCCCTGCCAAGTTTTCACATTAATGAATGTTGCTTTGTGTGAACTCCAAATTGAGTAATTTTCAGGTACATTTTTTTAAATTGGGATGTTTGACCAATAGCAGTAACATTTAATGTGTGTTTTTAGCAATTGGAGGAAACTGGGGAACTCAGAAAATCAATGCAGCACAGGGGCAAGGCATACAAATTCTACACAAAAAGGCAATTGAGTAAGGAATGGAACTCAGTCCTTTTTTGCTGTGAGACACGAGTGTTACCACTGTGCCACCCTGGCACTCAAATGTGAGAGCCAGTGTCAATTTAACTTGCTTCGTTAGCACTACCGGAGATGGCGCCACAACTCGACTCGGTGCCGTTGAAGAAGTCGCGGTTCCGTGTGGAGATGTCCGAGCGAGCCGCTGCCATGGACATGGACGAGGGCCCGGAGGGAGATGCGGAGGCGCGGATGAACCGGCGTGACACGCACATCACTGCCGTACTCTCGCACATTGTGGTACGTCGCCCGCTCAGCGTGTCGCCCAGTGGCAGCCGCTACTGCTGTGCATGTCCTCCACAAACATGCTCGGCAGCTATTACACGTGCACCTCTACAGCTCTTTTGTTAATCCCCTGCTGGATGATTGCCTCCGCACGTCGTGCTGATATTGAGGGTCATTTGACGATACTTGGTGAAAACGCGCAATAAAGGTATACGAAGTACAATACAACATTGGATTATGCTGTGCTGCCCAATGCTACGTAGGCCCGGAAGCCCACTGACAATCTGTGCGCATGGTGGTGTCCCATCCAGGTGCTATCCAGGCTGTTAATCCTGTTTAGCTTCCGAGACCTGATGAGATCCGGCGGATTCTTGTTTATTTAGTCATAGTAGCAGTTTTTGTAACGTGATTCTTTTCTTCTGCAATGGATTACTCCTTAAATTATATATCTATTACGATTTCCTCTAATCGAAGCCAAGTTAAAACCAAAGGTTTTTTTCCTCGTACTAATTTATTCCAGCAGCCTGTAAAGTACGTTCATTTGAACTGTATTCAGATGTGCATTCATATCTTGAAACGCCGTATGTCTCTGAACATAACAGCGACTTGAAAAATGTATCAAATGGACAGTGCTTTGCCCTGCACTTGCTTGGCGTTATTTTATTGCGTGTTGAGTGCAAGAATCGGTCTCAGCCATCGTGTCTGATTTGATTTGTAATTTCCTGAAGGAGTGGGACACGAGTCGCATTCCGATAAATGCGCCACAGATACCCGACGGTCCGTTTCCCAAGGCGTTGCATCGCTCGGAGATACTCACCAAGGTATTGCACACAAGCTGCATCTCGTATGCAATTCAAAAATTACGTTGAATGTGGGTTGGAGAGTGGCACAGTGGTAACACGTGTGCCTCGCAGCGAAAATGGAAAAAGGAGAAGGCTTTGATTCTCAACTTGGGCATATTTCTACGTGGACTTTTTATATTCTCCCACAATTCTGCATGGGTTTCCTCCCAGTTCTCCCATTTCCATAAATATATTTTAAAAAATGTTTTTATTTGCTATTGGCCATGTGCTGCCTAAAGAAACATGTTTATACATGTATGTTATAAACAATTACAAGTTTTACAATAGAAACTATTGAGCATAACGCATGTTTGATCAAACACCACTTTTGACAAGCTAGTTGCACATGTATGGTTATGTCTTTCAGGCATACGCAAATATATTACTGTTACATATAACTAATTTTGTAACCACACAGATAAATACTCGCCACTTGAGACTTGATTCTACATTTATGCATCGTGTTCCAAAAATTAGTTCCATACTTTGGCAGCTTTTCTTTCACACATGATGGTTCCTACATGTGGAGCAATATCGTGTCTGCATTACTTATAGAAAATGTTACTTCCCATTCTTCTTTCAAACGACTGTCATACTCTTTACTTAGAATTAGAGTAATTGTTTTTCAAAAGGGTTTTAAATGCACTACTTTGTGGTGTCACATAATCACTCAGAGTCGCAGAGAAAACCATAGAAATATAGAAACCCACAAACTCGCATATAGTTCACATTGGTTATCTACCATGTGTTCAGTTTCCACAATTTCATTTTGGGCTTTCTTGAAATTTACCCTCGTGATGCTCGTGGGCGTATCTTCCGTGAGACGTGCGGATTCGATTTAATGTGGACCTCTTAATAGAGGACATGAATGAATGTATTCCAATTATTGTGACACTGCCTTATCTTCCCATTGATGCTTTGTTGTAAACCTTGAAATGCGTTTCTAGCCCACAGGTCTTCCAGGAAAGCGGAGCTTGTTTGCTCAGCAGTATGCAGCCAAAAAGGGCACCTCCACTTCCAAATCTGCACAAAGCTGTACTGCGCCTCCACGCCCTGACACCACCGCTGCTGCTGAGCAGTCAAAGATAATGAGCACTATAGCAGGTAAAAGTATAATGGACATGGGTGTATGAAGTAACTGGGGTGACCTTTAAAGGTCTCGTGCAATGGTACAAGATATATTGTTGCTAAGGATGTCCATGGGATGTGTCACTGAATATTATAATTGCTATGAACAGGCTTACAAGGAGCCGCTTATAGACCTGGACAGATGGCAGAGTAGGGTCTTACAGCTCCACCACTTAATTGGGAAACACAACCCAATTGTCGCCCCTACTTGGAAAACTTGGCAGGACGCTCCTGAAAAAGAGTCTTGAGACTCAGTGAAGCTTTCTTGGGTAAGCGAGCAGACTAATAATGAGCACTGTATGAAAATTATATGCATATGTTAGGCCAATGTTGCATTTAGGATAATTGAGCGAACAGAACTATTCGCAAAACAATAAGGAGCAATAGTCATAAGATGGCAAGAAAAATAATAATTTCCATCATAACCGTGTTTTGTGGCAAATCACTGGGGGAGAAATGTTTCTAGCTTTGTGCCCCAGGTCACGGGTTAAATTGTGACCTACCACTTTAACCTCTACCATTGTGGGCTGCCACGGTGCTCAAGCTGGCGCTGCTGACATCTTGTGTTTGAATAATGGCAGCCGCCGCTGAGTCAGCCGCTTTCTCAAGTGCAGTGCATTGATGGTCTCAGCCTGATTTCCAGTGACGGTATGAAAATTACATGTCATTATATTTAGTTTTATGCAAAATTCTAGCTTAGAATTAACTATGGGCCTCACAAAGGATTGCACTGCTCGGTGAGAGTTCCAAATGTATTGTTAGTATTATGACATGACCCTGATACCACAATCAGGGTCAGATTTGGGGGGAAAAAAATAAATCACATTCATATCGTGTCACGGGTCACACGTGGAACTGTTACTCATGTGTGTTTAACCGTCGTGCCGCTGGTCACGTGCTGTCAGGAGGTGGTGGCCGTGGGCTGGTGACAGGGACGGGCCTGGCCGTGGGCTGTGCAGAGGCCGAGGCGGAGAAGATCCACAAGGAGAACGTGGAGCGGCTCAAGGCCATGTCGCGCGAGGAGATCGCCGAGGAACGCAGCAGGCTGCTGGCTCAGATAGGTGGCCTTCCTGCTCGTTATTCTCGCACACCGTGCACTCTGGAATACTTACTAAGCCCAACACTGAATGTGCGTGTACAGCTCTATTGTCACTTTACTGCTGGATGAAGGCCTCTCCATACCAAGTATTCTATGGCGGTTATTTGACTGTTCTCCAACGCGCTGGCCAGTGTGGGTTGGTGAACGTAACATATTCACGAAGTTGGTTTCTCTATTACAGTGCTAGCTGGTGCAAGATATGAACGTGAGAAAAACTTGGGTGTGATTTATAAAGAGAGATTTGCGCTCAGTAAAAAAATGCTCAAAATAAATTTTTTGTGGTATGTACATTTTTCAAGTTCAAAGGATGATACGGTTGATATTTTTCTTGTGACCACATTGGTGTAGGGTAGATGCCCTTCACAAGTAGCTAAGAGAGCAGAAAAGGAAAGCTGAACTTCACAACAAACCGTCAAAACTCCAACCTCTGCTACATTTTGGGAAACGACATGGGTGAATGGGAAAATCCACTTTTTGAACATGGGTCACTCTCGGTATGAAGCCACATCACCTTTCAGGTTAACGCCAAAGGTCAAATCCAGCCCCAAATCAGGCGTTCTCACGAACAAAAACAATTCCACCGAGCGTAAGTAAAATTTTGCATTTGCAGTGAAGTCTCCTCCCTTAACAATAAGCCATACATTGCAGTACATTGTGGATTTATACAGCCTCTACAATCGGTCACACATCTGGATGCTGGACAGAAACAGTGGGTATTTATATGGTTTTGTAGATAGAAGCAACTGGTAATAGGCAAGGGGAAGACAAAGGTCTTGAGGTTGGACTTGAACAGGAGCAGGGAGTCAGCAACACGGGTGTCAGGGGGAAGGGAGTTCCAGATGATGGGGGCACCATATGATATAGAGTGATCTCCCATTGAGCAAAGGTTGAATGGGGTTATTGATAGAAAGCTTTGGTTGCTGGAGCAGAGTGTGTGTGGAGGGGAGTAGCATGAGATGAGGAGAGTGGTAAGCAAGGTCGAGTCTAATGGAGGATATTGAATGGCGGTGATCTTGAAATTGATCTGGTGTTAGATTGGGAGCCAGTGGAGGGATGGAAGTATTGTGATGATCTGGTCTCTTTTACATATACTGGTGAAAAGTCTGGCGTGCCATCTTGGATAATAAAAAAAAGATTGTTAAGCATTACTTATTTGAAAAAGATGTCATTGCCTGCAAACATTTAATTAATAATAATGCGCCCTTAAAACATAACCGTCCCAATTAACGGTTTTCCTTATTTTTCTTCCATAAAACCTGTGCCATGGTCCAACATCTCGCAGATCCCAAACTGGTCGCGTTTCTGAGATCAAAGAAGTGCGGAAGCAGCGACGCGGACACAGAGCAACATCTCAACGCCGGATTGGGCCAGCCGGCCGTGGGAATCTCTCCTCGGGGTGCTGATGTCATGATCAAGGATGACGCTTCAGCTCGAAGAGACTCGACGGGGAGGCACCAAGCCAAGAGAGTGCGGTTTGTCGAGCCGGGGGACAATGTGAAGGCTGCCCGGATGCAGGTAGCGCCCGCTGACACAATCACCGAGAAGGGCACGGGGGAGTCCAGTGAGAGCCTTGTGACCGACAGCGACATGGACACTGAAGAAGAGGATAAAACATCAACATTAGGTATTTTTTTTAATTGTTGTCTTTTATAAAACAAAAGCGTGTTGCTAATGCAAAATTGGTGGTAATGTGTCACATGCAATTGAACATTTTGTGGGCTAATGTATGTATGTATGTTGAAATCCTTTCGCACCGTACGTAGCCAACTGTGCTAATCCACGCTGCCACTGCTAATGTAGTGGTAAGGTGGCTCAGGGATAGAGCGAGCGGTTCACAGTCGGAAGGTTGTGAGTTCAAATCCTAGTTGGGGGTTGGCTCAGCCCTTTATCTCTCCAGGGTCGATAAAATATTTGCCACTTTAAAAAGTCACTTTGTCCTACTGATGGGCTTGCCCTCGTCACAGGAATATGGAATTTTACCACTGACTCAGGCTGTAAAAAGGAGATGAAGCACTACCTCAATCCTCAGAGCAGAAAATGACTGACTTTTTCAATGTAACTTGACACCATGATGCATTGAAATAGACTGGAATGGCATCCACTTTGAGGTGCGTCCTTTGATGTGGCATGTTTTATGTAACTCTCCTTTGAAGTTATCCTGAAGTGTAAATATGACATTTCCAGGTACATTTTTGTATTATTAGTGTGGGTATTAGTACATGCATATGACAAAAATCACCTGGATTTTTCCCGGTCTCGTCAGATCTTTGAAGCTAAGCAGGCTTTGAGTCTGGATAATGTTTTTAAATGGGCCACCACCCTGCATAAAACAGTCATAGGCTTCTGCGAGGCCACGTTGTGGGCAGAGGGCATTTTGGCAAATATATTGTTGTACCGTACTATATTCCCCATCGTCTATGCTCCTGTGCTTTCACCAACCCGCACTGACTAGCATGGTAAACTATGGTAAAATAACCCTCCATGACCCACAGGGCATGGTGTAGCCCTCATCAAGCAAAGGATTTAAAGAAGGGGTGTATGTGAATGTTTACCAGCACGTAGCAATCTCCATTGTCATCATTTATTAAAAAACTTAATCTTCAACAAGTGCCAAGGAGGTGAGGTTGCTAGTATTAATGTACAGGGATAATACACAATGCTCAGCTTCATGCTGAGCTGTTTTTTTAAGCTTGGATCTGTGATATTTTCGATGCTGCTCGCTTTCGGATGAGTTGTGCACACGTGATGGCACGTTGTTGTCCCTGGAGGACACAGTGCACTCAGGCGCTGGTATTGGAAGGCAACTGAGTGGAGAGATATGTGGTCGATTGCCACCCGGCATTGTAATCCATTCAGTCGGCACTGGATATTTGGTACCACGGAAGCAATGGTGGCTCTCTACAGCCACATTTCGAGCCCATGCAATACAAAGACAGTACAGTACTAAGCATGGGAAGTATACATTTACTTGTTTCATTGATATTGCAAAGCAAGCGATTCTATTTAACAACGGTTTTTTCCATTAGCTGTGGTTGTGTGCTGTAATTTACACTTCGGTGGACACACAGAATGTGTTGTCAATGTTGGAGGCTATTTTTAGGTTAAAACATTCTCCCCATCATATTTCGAGGCATTTGGGAATACATTTGTCACTGACGTTAATGCAATTGCGCTAAAATAAACTTGGCCTTAATCCCTGTTGTTAATTAGCGTTTGGCTGATAAGTCACAGCTCAGCAGAAACGTAATGTTTGCGTATTATATTTGGGCATTTGCGTCATTAATATGCATTTGTATACAGTACGTTAGAAATATGTGCCCTTTGTCAATCCATTGCTGGATGAATGCCTCCAAATGCAGTGACTATCAAGGTGGTTGTTTGACCGTACTTCACGCTGGCCAGTCCGGGTTTGCAAAGGGGGTACACAAGACTGATTCGATGATCACTAACCACTAATGTTAGCAATGGACGGGACTCAAGCTCATGTGGCCCAGTTCGTAGTCCAGTGCACTCGCCGCTGTTCTAGTGCTCTGAAAAGTGCAGGCCATGGAATGCACTGCAGCCTCGCTAAGTGGCACAGCCTGGCTCATGAGTGGTTGGCTGTTCTATTCGGCATAGGCTTCACTTCAAAGCACTATCGGAGACCCTAGCATGGCTTATTGTTGTCTGGTTCTTAAAGGAAGACTCGACCCAAACTGCAAATAGCCCAGAACATGCAGATACATACCTAGAATGCATTTAGCGATGCATTTATTCATTAGTTAAGATTTATTTTTGCAATCACCCTGCATGTAGCAAATTGTGCGTGAATTAATTTAAATTATTTTCAATTCATATGACCCCTGCAGCCAATTGAAGACCTACATTAAGGATACAGATTGGCATTTATTAATTGTGTCAATGCCACTGCTTCTCAAAACGACTGAAACCATGTAAAGGAAAGGGAAAACATTTGAGGGCCAAGTTATGGAAAGATATGGGTGAAGAAAAATAACAATGTAAAGCATCTGGTGCGGGATTTAATCATGGCTTTGAATCGTGACGATCCATTAAATCATGACGGAGAATTAATTGTTCAATGCCTCGTAGCTGGGACGTGTGTGCCAGGTTATCAGATGCATATTTGAAGATTCTATAATGACAAAAGGACATGACACAGTTACTTTCGGCAGTGCAGTCATAAATAGTTTTGGGTATTACTAAAAAATTCTGGGCGTGAATTGTAATGATTCTTTGAATTGATAGAGGATTGGTACACCATTACATTCCAATTCTGGAAGATGCAGGCCTTTGACTTTCTTGGTTGTGTCTCCCTTTATACCACATTGCGCGGACCTGGGGAGGAAGTCAAGGTGATATTTTGCTCAAATGACCATTGAGGCATGCTCATCTATGTTTTTAGATTAAAATATTCACCTGGAAAATACCTTGAGATTTACAAGTGGGTGTCGACTGGCATATAGCAAAACACACAGACGGTATACACACATTTAAAATCGATTACTCGGTTTTAATTTACACCATAAATATCACACCCAGTCAAACACTTAAATACATACATGTTCACACCGCCAGTTCATAAAGTATGTACATGTGCTGTTTATAGCTCTGTGCCAGCGGTAGTTCAGAGCTATAAACGTTAGTACGTGGAAATTCCACGTGCTAATGGCGGTGCGCGGGTGGGGCAATCTCTTTAAGCCGACCGTTGTCGACTTCCCCACAACATGGTACTCATTTTATCGACACCGGAAGGTTGTGATGGACTGAGTTAAATCCCAAACCCGGATTGAACTGGTGACCTTGCAATTGCGAGCCACTTGCCGTACCGCCGGGCTGAGGCTGGTAGACAGAGGAAGGCGGTGTTTGTGAAGTACTCTGCGGGCTGCCTGCCTGAGTAGCCGGCCTGCTGCTGCTGCTTCTGCTGGGCGATCGTAGGCTATGGTGCCCCAAGCGGTGGAGAAAGGGAACAGATGGCGGGGCAGCCTGCCCGCATTTCCAAGACCACTTTGCCTTTTGCACGGCTCATTGCGCTCGAAGGCGCTCGCCGTATTTTTTGCAACGTCCGCTTGTCCTTGGGCTGTTTAAATATATAACTGCGGCCACAGTGCTGATGCGGTCACTTTTTCCTTTGGAGCCAACCATTCATAGCACACGAGCGTGGCGATTATGAAAGTAATTTATTACATTTATAATATATGTATATTTTTGTTATCGCTGTTAAACAAATAGCGTAATACTTGGCTCACGTTCAATGCCCACATAAGTGGAACTGCCTCGCGTGATTTACTGGGCCTATTGTTGGCGTTAATTCGGCATGGGTTGTCATTTAAATCATCATGGATTTTTTTGTAATTGCAGCATGGTTTCAGAGGCTTATATAAAACTCTATAACTCATTGTAACGTGGCCTGACCTCGTGGTGATGGGGAGCTCAATAACATTTATGCTTCCCACTGCTCTCCTTTCAGATGGACTGCCCATCAAGCCCCAGAAGGAGTGGATGCACATGGACAAGGTGGAGTCTGAAAAGATGGAGTGGATGCGTGAACTTCCCAAGCCCTCTCCGAAGCGACGCAAGACCAAACAGGTTTGCGGGACGTTTGTGGTGCAATGTAATCGCCTGGTAGGAAAGTGCTCCCCCTAATGTCGAGCAGAGCAGGCCTTGGATGTAGCCCTGATGTCCACTTCCATGGGCCATTCTCAAACACAAAGGGTCGCGCTGCTCTGCGGGAGTTTCGAATGGGTATTCTGTCTCGTGGCGTGACGCGGATAGTGCATTCCCTAGCAGCAATTATCAACCCACGTTTTTCAGGAATAGACAGATGGCAATGACGTTACGTTTCAAGCCCTGCAATAAGGTGACGTCTCACGGTGCATGACGTCATTGTGAGGGGAGGTGTGCGGTGCTTTTTGTCTCCTGATTTTTGGCACGTACCCTGTGAACGATATGGCCGGTCTTCTCTCCAGCGAGTCCCTCAGAGCAACACAACTGTATGCGCACGTTTTGTTCATATTAATCATCTTTACAGGGAATATTGTGACCCTGCATTGCAGAGAGACAGACTGAAATATTGCATTTATGCTTCCAACCTCGCTTGGAGAGCAACATTATTAATTGATCCACAAAGGCATTTTCACACGTGATCACCTGGGGCCACTGGGACACACTTTTTTTTCCAATATGAAAAAATGTGGTGCAGTTTTGTGGCCAGAAAAGAGTAAAAAATTGCCAGAAGCGTTGATTGTTCTTTAAAAAAAGCAGCGATCTGTTAATAATCCTGCAATTTTTAGGATTTTTTTTCTGTTTGTATGAAAGAGGCTAAAATGAGATGTGTTGGCATGTGCGGCTCACGGGAATTGTCTTGCAGTGCTCTCCTTATGACATGAGTGCGATAAAACAAATCCTGTTTACTTGAGAGGAATGACACAAAGTCAAAGAAAATAATTGTCACTCCCCACACACATTAAGCCCAAATCTCGGGAGCGAATGAGGCCGCTCCGAATTTAGAAACGTTTTTTGCAGTCGTGCATGAAATAGCTGCTCGGATAATATCCTCCAGCATTGTTAGTGTATGAAGTATGGAATGATGAATAAGTCGGTAATACATTGCAACTTAAAATAAAGCGTTTGTTGATGAGACGGTGGTAGAATGCACGATTTATTGATAGAGAAATTGTGAAGTATTAAACGAATGGCGGTTTAATACGCTGGACAAAGTTACATTTAATCTCTCACCATTTGCAGAGCCCAACATGTGAAAATTACTCCTATTCGTTTACTAATTTTTTTTATTTAAGAATGCACGTAAACATGTTTATGCATTTTTGAAACATGCACAAGCAAACATGTTATCTATTTTTTTATGCAGCAGTCATGCTACATGTCCGTTGCATGTGGATACATTGTAGATCTGTGAAACCTCCGTATCGGCTGTGTGAACAGAATGGAAATGAAGCGGCTAAGTGAGCTAAGCACTGCGTTGTTCGGAGCCTGCGCGCTTGTGCCAGCACCAGAATATTAAATAAAACGGGGGGACCCAGTTGGGAGCGGCCGTGACCGCGAAGAGCTCTGCACTGCTGCCCCCTTGTGCATTATTTAATGCGCCAATAACTCGCCAGGATGTGGCTACTTGGCGTGATCCCTTTCTAGCTGGGATTGCACATTGCCTTCTTTAAGTACCAGACAATACTGGTTGGCTAGTGGCCGAATCTGTGGCATTAATTTGTTGTTGCCTGCTGCACTTAATGGATTCTATGCATTAATTTCCTTAAATCAACAGGGAAGATTGTGGTTCAAGCACTCCTCTATATGCTGAATCGGGGTATTTTTTTTAAGTCGCTGTCATCGGTTGTGTAGACTGGATCCTCAATATGGGTCGAGGAATTAAATAGCGAAGTTCACTAGGAACAGCAGCCGTGGTAGTAGCGATAGAAGAGTGATGAGGAGGTGACTGACCATCTGTCTGTTTTGTAGGAGATGCAGGCTCGCTTTGACTTCCATGGCCAGCTGGTTCCCCCGGACTCGGACGTGCCCTCATACCTCGGCCTGCATCATCATGGCGCCGAGCCCGAGGTACCGGCCCCGTCCCCTGACTATTCGGTCTGTAATCTTGATTGTGAACTACGCTCATCACTTGTCCATCAATCAAGAAGCAGGTTTCGGCAATATGGCCAACATTTCATAATCAACTTAACACGTAGGTGTGTTATCAACACGCAAATCGACGTTACGATTTCTAATTTATTTTTGGATTAAGCCACATAATTACCTGACCAAATTTGTGTTGTTAAGAACCCCCGCTACCCGACGCAACCAAATGAATTACTTGTCACGTGGTGTACAAGCATGAAATTCGCCAGTTATTATTGTGCCAGCTCACCGGTATGTTGAATGACAATTCTCAAAGCAAAATTCACAAATTTGTTCTGATCATTATGTGACCTAACCCAATAATCAATTCTTAAACATTCTATTGTCAAAGTTGTTGCTTTCATCTCATTTTTAAATGTTACTGGGTGAAATAATCAGCTCTGGCTGTCCTTTGCACAGACAAATCCTTGTTAGACGAAAGTTGAATTTCCGCCACAGGCTCAAGGCTGCCAGTGGAGATGAGTGTTTCCGTGTGCTCGTTTGGGAAGAGAAACGTTTGACCTTGAGCAAATGAAAGGGACTTAAGTTCAAGGAAATTGTCCACTATATTATAGAAACCCAACATGTTCATCAATCATACTGTGGCCCTAAAAGGATAAAAACATAATAGGTAATGTTTTGGGTGATGGCCCTTCCTCATGACAGAGAGAAGGGCTGTTACAATGCAATGGGACACAAATTAGCATGGAGCATGCAGCAAGGTGCGGCGCGGAGACTGTAACACCAAGGCACAAACACAGGCAGAGACTGTAACACCAAGGCACAAACACAGGCAGAGACACCACAGAGACACAAACTTAAGTCAAGACACAAAGGTAGACACACCAGCAGAGAACACAAAGACAGATTTCATACCTCCCCGAAGAGGTGGTTGAAACTTGAATTTGGAGCTTTCGTGACTGCAGGAATTATTCTTTGCATCTCAGCCCCGCCTTCTCTGTCTATTTAAAACCTTGACACAGAGATTACTGTGTGCTTGCCTCTCTCCATGTGTCTCTGTGCTAACTCTCTCTGCTTGGATGTCTATATATGTGTATGCGGTCTGTATATTTAAATTTCACACTTAACTTGCAATTTAGCAATATTTGAAATAGCGTAATCAACCAGCCCATGCGTTAATTGTGTTTTGACCGACCGTCTGTGTTGCATTATATTGTTTCCAAATTTTGCTAAACCTTGTCTAATTTAGTGTGCTCCCCCCATCTATCTCTCTCTGTATCCTCTGTTGTATCTGTGTCTGTATATATATCTGCGGTTATGTGTCTCCTCTCTCTCGTAAATTTAGCTCTTCTGTACCTGATGATGATTGCTTGTGTTGCAATCGAAACGTCGTGCGCTATTATGTAATTTTATTATTTCTTATTTCTCCGTGACTTTACAAAAAAAAACAAAGAATAATCCTCAAGGCTCTACGCTTGAAAGCAACGCACAGTTTTCAAAATTCCAGAGCCAATGAAGACAGCCTCTGTACTCTTTGGATCTTTCAGTAAAGTCACGTAGATAGAAAAATCAAAATCACGCAGCCTCTTTACTCAAGCAGCAACATTCTGGTGTTTATAGATTCCACCCCAGTCCCTGTGTTATCCGCTCTGTGGTGTTATTGCCAAGCGTTACTCTATGTTTGGCCGTGTCTGTGGCTTTTGTTCGTGGCAGCGAGCCGGCTACTCCCTGGAGGAGCTCTTCCACCTGTGCCGGAGTCAGGTGATCCAGCAGCGCACGCTGGCACTTCAGCTCCTCGCCCGCATCCTCATGCGGGTGAGCCCACTCCCGGCGGCCCTCGCCTCCTGCATGGGCGCGGCGTGTTGAGGGCGTCTGGGCCGAGCTTCCGTGCTCTGCCTTTGCCATTGTGCAAGAACAATTTCGCTCGTCGATAGAAAGCGAGACACACTGACGTTTTTGTCGTCACATCCACTGTGTTCTCCGGACTGTGAGACGGACTTTTTTCCATGTAATTTTGTGGGTGCGTCTTATAATCTGTTGGTTGTCTTGTGTGTGTGTGAGACCAGGTTTGTACAATTTTATTTTACGTTTGGCACAAGTTTGGGGGCACTTGGTACTCTCCGGGGTGTTTTATAATCCGGAGAATTTGATAGATGACAGCATTGTAATTGGGGTTGCAAGGTGTGCAGTAGTAACAACATGAGCCGCACCCCCCCCACCCACGAGTTCCCTTCAGGTGCACGTGCCCCCTCTCTTTATGGCGTTTTCAGGTGCTATTGTATCTATTCGCTTTACAAATCAAAATCGTATTGAATGAGAAATACTTCATACAGAGGTCCAAGGTTTAAATCCAGGAGGCCGTCCTAGCTAATGCTGCGGTTATACATGCCGTAAAAAATCTGTGTCATCTGCTTCATAGTAGACGTTAAGGCTCATGTGATGTAATTTTAGGAAGGGTGGGCCATTGTGCCTGCGTTTTCCAAATTTTAACAATTACTCGCAAATTCCTGAATTGGGATTACACAGCATTTGTTGGGTTCGAATGCAAAAACGTGTCAGGGCACTTCTAAAATTGATTCTTGAGACAAGTGGAATAATAATAATAATACGACATTAAAACGTAACTGACACGTTGGAAGGCATGATGCAAACCCAAGTTAAAGATCCCACGGTGGCTGCGACCAGAAGTCCCAAGCGTGCTTGATCTCTATGCTTTCTCGCTATTGGGCATGCGTTTCTCACCCTGGCCGATGTCATCTTCTTTTGGCGCTGATTGCGCTGATTGCGCTGATTGCGGGTTGGCGATGCAGGCCAGGCAGGGCGAGTTTGCGGGGGAGCTGCGTGTGAGCCTGCTGCGCACGCTGATGGACGCCGGCCTCGTGTTCCTGCTGCGCTACGCCCTGGACGACTCGGCCGAGGGGGTGATCGCTGCCGCGGTGCTTTCCCTGCAGGCGCTGCTCTCATGCCCAGCGGAGGAGGTGTGCTCCTCTCCAGTGACCATTGGATGCTTTACAGACCCCTGGGTGCAGCCCTGCAATTGCTTGCTCACGCCACTGCTGGAAATAGAGAAAGCTCCAGAGAGCTCCCAAGGTCACTGGTTCCCAGCCTCTGGACCTGCAGATCACTGAAAACCCTTAACACATTTTTGCGAACCACCATGAGCTAAAGCGTACTGTGTTTGGTGAAAACCATCATAACTGCAACAGTTTTGCGGACCACTTCCCACAATCTTGCGGACACCTGTTACTGAGAGTAACGATCGTCGCATGACAATCAACCGGTCCACAAAGAAGCATGCTTAATATGATGGTATCTTGGTATGGTCATATGTCACCAGGCTGTACCCAGGATCTCAGCAGAGCTAAGCACTGTGACCTGTGGGCCACCCCTCTGCATCCTAATCGCATACATTTTTAAATGACCAAAATGTCAGACAAAACTTGTGACAAGTGTGCAACCTCACTGCCTCCCATAGGAGGCGCTGGATCAGGTTTTCAGCTGGTATCAGGGCTCTTCGTCATTTCCCCTTGCTCCGACGGAAGAGGAGGAAGATGCTGATGGTGACGAAGATGAAGATAGTGATGGTGAAGCAAAATCCGCAGAAGAAGGTGAAGAGAGTGTAAAGAGAAAAGCCAAGGATGAGAAGAAGCCTGATCCCCTTGTGGCCAGGCATGACATCATTAAGGTAACGATTGGCTTGTGTGTTGTTTACACGTGTTGTGTGTGCATGCCTGAGACGAGAATTACCAATTCACAATTGGGTTAGCATTCTTAAACAGTTATTGTTTAACACATATTGCAATGTGGTGTAGTTTACCTGGACCATAACAAACACTCATGGCATTGTTTGGTTTTTAATTGGAGCCAAGGTAGAGACTTGGAGGGAAAAATTGAAAAGTGTTCTTGGGGAGAGCACAAATGGTGACCCTTAGGTTTACAACGCTAAAATCATGAAATATGAATTAGCAAAGATCCCAATGTATCATTCTGAGAAAGAGTCTTCAGACTCGAGCTTTCCTGGATAAATGAATGACATCATGGCATTCTGGCGACATAGGGCCTGATTAGTTTGTCAGAGGAGGCAGAATCCAGACAAAGTTGGCAAACCGCTGGTGTATTTGTTAATGTAGCTGTTACTTTGCCAAAAGGTTGCCGAGAAGCTGCCTCTGTCAATCCAGTCCAAAGGGGCCACATTGTGCGTAGCAGAGGGCAATGCAGCAAAATGCATAGTTGTACTGCACTTGACTTAAAGACCCAAAGAATATGTACTGCACTTCTATGTCCTCACATCTAAGACTGGCTGCCTTCATAAACCCACACTGACCAGCCTGAAGAAGCACGGTCAAAATCGGCATGGCGTGGGGTGTCCCACACCCAGCCGTAGCTTGGCCAGGCCTGTACATGCACACAACACGTGAAAAGCTGCCATAAGTTGGTGCGATTGAATCTTTCCGCTCTGCGTCGGGCGTGGCAGCATGCACACCGCGGTTTCTCCTGTGCGGCAGGGCCTGCTCAAGACCGGGATGCTGCGGCGCCTGCGCTACATCGTGGAGGTGGTGCGGCCGGTGCCGGCCGTCGTGCTAGCGGTGCTGCACATCCTCACGCGCATCGCGCGCCATTCCGCGCACGCTGCAAGCCAGGTGGGCCCCGTAGCGATTCGAGATGGCGGTCTGATAACCCACTTTGTTAGCCTTCGTTTATTTTGGGTGGCAGACTGGCGGCCCAGTGGTAACACTCTTTGTCTCGCAGCAAAAAAGGATCTGGGTTCGATTTCCAACTCGGGTAACCTTTCTGCGTGGAATTTGTATATTCTCCCACTCTTCTGCGTGGATTTTCTCCCATAGCCAAAACACACATATACAGTGTGGCTGCTATTGGGAGTGTGTTTCCCAGGTCCAGAAAATACATTGACAGCCTCCCCGCTTCGGATTTTTGAGTTTCTACTCTACATTGACAGCTCTATTTATTCTACTTATTATGTTTGGTGCAGATGAATTATGCCTCATCACACTAAGTCATGCTTACTCTCAAATTCAGCATGGTTTCTTGTTCAATTGAGTCTGAGCCAGTGCTCACCTGTTGACAGCCCTGACACATTAACACATAGAGAGTAACACATTGCATTTCAGGAGATGGTTGTTTTCCTGTTTGGGTATTATTGTATTATTATGCTCGTTTACCCAGGAAGGCCTCACTAATTGTCAAGACCTTTTTTACAGAAGGGTCCTGCCAAGTTTTCACAGGAGGGGACAGTGTTGCTATGTGTAATCCCAATGGACTAATTTGCAGGTAATGTTTTGGCATTGGATATTTGGTAAATATCACTTACAGTTACATGTTCTATTAACCATGAGAGGTAACCGGGGAACCTGGAGGAAACCTATACAGGACAGGGGGAGAATGTACAAACTCCACACAGAAAGGAACCCCAGACAGTAATTGAAACCAGACACTTTTTCCTGAGGCACACGAGTGTTGCCACTGTGCCACCCTGCCGCCCAGCGGTCCGTTTTGGGCGATGGTCGTTTGCTTGCTTGAAGGGCGCGGCGGTGTCTTGTTTCTGCCGACAGATCGTGGAGTGCCCCCGCCTGGTGGAGTCGCTCGTGTCGGAGTTCCTGCCCACGGCCTGGCAGCCCACGGGGGGCCCGGTGGGGGTCGTGGGGGGGTCCTTGGATGAGGGAGGGGGCGATGATGGGGGCAAGGCTGGGCGAGGCATCCCCACCAGCGTGTATGGGCTGCCGCTTGCTGCTGCCATGAAGCTGGCCCGCGTGCTCTGCCAGGCCGGCCGTAACATGTCGGCCATCATGGTGGGTGCCTAGGCGCGTGTCGACGGATCAATTATCCGTCGATTAATATCGACAGATATTGTACGTATTTGAAGCCAATCTTTACTAATTGTGCAGCTGTGTTCGACTGTCGTCTTTAGGTTAACAAATGAACGAGATGCAAAATAATTGCAATAAAAAACAAAAATGAGGCAGGGATAAATTGAATCGCAACCTCGAATAGTGAGAACAGATTGAATCGCTGGGGGGTTCTCAGCGGTGATCCTGCTGTGTGTGTAGTCATACCTGCCGTCGGGATTGGGCTGGTAAGTGCCTGTGTTAATGTGGTATAGGGCTGGGCAGCAACAATAAGCTTCCCTAAGTAGGGTTGAGCCTGGCTAATATGGTCGAATGTTGTGGGTAGCAGAAAGTAGTGTTATACAATCCACTTTGTTCATGTGCTTCCATGCTCCCCGCCTTCGCCAACCTGCACTGACCAATCTGGTGAAGTATGTTTAAATAAATCCCCACGGCTCGCACGGCATGTGGGAGCCCTCATCCAACAGTGGATTATCAAAAGGGCTGTCCAAGTACGAGCACTACCGATATGATCAAAACCCAAGTCACACAAAGCGTGAGTGCGATGTCATGAATTATTGTGCAGTGTCGTTTGCAGTGCTAACACGTTGTGCCTCCCACTTCGCAGGTCAACAAGTTTGACCTGCGATCGCGTGTTACGCGCTTTGTGGCCGAAAAGCCCCAGGACCTGCTCCTTGACCTCCACGAGGCTCAGCTGCTCTCGGTGGAGGCACTGCGCCTGTGGGCTGTGGCGGCCAGCTATGGACAGATGTGCAGCCTCTACAGGTGTATGTTGTCTTCTAACGTGTTGGATTCATCCAGGAAAGCCTCACGAGTCTAAAGATGACATTTTTTTCTGGAGGGTTAAACATTAAGGGGTGGGTGAATGGAGTAGTGGTTTGAGCCCTACGCGATTAACCCGGTGACCTGTGTTTGAATCCTGGCCAATGGCTTATATCAGTGGTGAGCGATATCTGAACCTTTTCTGGGCTCCTAGCTTAATTAACCCGCTTTGGTGGATTACAACCAGGCACACTTGTGCCTCACAGCAAGAAGGGCCTGGGTTAGAATGAACGACCATGGTGCCTTTCTGTGTCGAGTCTTTTATTTCTTCCCCTGTTCTGCATGGGTTTTCTCCAGATCTTCTGGTTTCCTTCGTCCCCACTAACTCTGTTGCTGTCTCCCCCAGGGAGCTGTACCCCGTGCTTGTGCAGCAGGTGCAGGCCCTGCCGGGCGACGCGGCTCAGCCCCACGGGCCCCACGGGCTCCACGGGCCCCACGAGAGGGCCCTTCCGTTGCAGCGCGCCGAAGCCCTGGTGTCCCTCCTCACAGCCGTGACGCACTCAGCCAGCCTGGGCCTGCACAGGCTCGCACGGACAGCAGACAGGCAAGCCTCCGGCACTCACCTTCGACGTCACTTCAATTGAAACTCTTTTTCACATATGTCCTTGTCTGTTTACATACTCGTACGGTAAGCACCATAATTCCATTGTTTTTCTGTACTTGATTGCACTTGGAAAGATTTTTTTTAAGTGATTCGTCCGAGCCAACTTTCATGAAAGGAAATATAATTTTTTGAAATGTTCTTTTATGTTTGTGCACTATTTTCACGTTTTCATGGTTGTTATTTTCTCTCTGATTTCTATTTACATCATTCTTGTACTTTACTTTATGTTATTGATTTTGTTATTTTGTGACCCATGTCACTTATGCAAATGAGATTGTCCTTATTGGTCTCTCGAGTTCTCATCTGACTAAATGAAATAAACTTGAACTTTCTGTAAATTATAAATAACTCATCAGGCAGAAAAGTGCGTACAGGGAGTAAACAAATCAGGGCACACGGTGATTTATTGACCGAAAATCGGTGTGAATGTGACCTACTTGTCAAATAAAAAATTCCACTCAAATTGACATGTTTTTCACTTCACCGCATCACCCCAACTGTGAAGCTACTGCAGAAGATATTCACATGTGAAGCACAGCACCTTGGTGATAGCCTAGCGCTATTAGAATGGCACAAATACCAAATGTACTAATGATTTGATATTATGCCTTACATGTAACGTGGCATCGGATCGCCATAATCCATGAGTAATGCACATGTCCTCATACTCGGAAGAGGCAAGATTGTGGCCATATTAACACAAGGCCCCATCACACCATGGCTGACCTATTCAGTTCATTTCACCTTTTCCGTATATTGGAGAACTCTCACTACAAACATGAAACTTTTATTGCACTTTTTGGAACACTAAGAGTCTGACATTCCATTCATCATTCTGGAGTTATTTTTGTCTGTGGTGTCAGAGTTGATTTGCAGCCTACCAATCTCTATGGGGTTCATAAAAATTATTTTGAGTAGGTGTTGTGACCTGCAGGTGTGGTGATTGAGCACAGTGTGCATGAGGCAAAACAGTCAGCCTGGTGGGCAACCTGCATCCCCTTGGGCCGCATCCAGCCCATGGAGCCCCTCGTGGTGGCCTGGTCTAAGTGTGTCTCGGGCGATCCGTGAGGTCATGATTAGTGCACATGAACATTGGCAAGCTTGTGGCCCACTGAGGTAAACGAGGGCCGCTCATGTGGCCCACTAACGTGTCTAGGTTGCCCATCACTGGTAGACCCAGTCCTCAATTGTAGTAGAGTGAGAAGGGGACAACTGGCTAACTGAACGGTGCCGTTGCGGTGCAGCACGGAGGAGAAGGCCGGCGAGGAGGTGCCGGCGCCACTCGTGAGCTGGGAGCAGGTGGCGGGGCTGGCGCCTATCACCGAGGGCTGCCTGCGACGCTGCCTCCAGGAGGCGGCGTCGTGCTCGGCCGCCGGTGAGGGCGCGCGCACGCTCGCCTCCGCGCTGCTCCTCCACCTCTCTGCCCACCACACCGGCAAGGCACAGCAGGTGATTGTTTTGGAGTTGGCCAAGCATCCAAATTTAGGACCATGTAGCCCGGGAAATTGTTGGCACCGCCTCTCGCTGCTTGCCCTCTAATCTGGTTTCCCACGCCACTGTATCATTCTCTTTCTCTCCCCAAGAGTGACAGAAGACGGTGCTAATTACAAAATTTAATTATCTAATGGCACCAGCCCAACTGCGTTACGCGGTCGCACCAGCCCAACTACGTTACGCAGTCGCATACCGCTTTAGCAGCACACTATAGCAATCGGAACGGTTAAAGAACCACACCTGTAAAATCACACGTGCCCAATTACCATCATCGCCAGCCATTATCAATCCACTGCTGAATGAAGACCTCCCCAAGCCATTGCCATCTCTCAGTTCTGTAACGGAAGGGTTTTAAGGGTGTGATACATTGCAAAAATGTAATGACATATATACAACCATTTAAAAAACTATAACATATGTATGTAGTCTACTTTCATGCCATGGCTCTTGTTCCAGAGGAACGACTGCAGTGAATCTTTAAGGCGAGTGAGATAACTCGCAATCTCGTGGTGCTTTGCTGCTCTCCTCAGCCGTCGACCGACCCGGTGGAACATCTGGAGGAGCTGGAGCGACTCTCTGAGGAGACGCTTTGCCCGTTGCTCGTCTCTCCATCGCTCAGCTCCATGTTGAGCAAACTCAAGTAGGTTCCGCAGTCTTTGCCTACGCGCGCAACATCTACTCTGATGTGCGGCAGACGGTGTAGCTTTGTTTCTTTACAGAATTCATATGGGTGGCAGGATGGCACGGTGGTAATGATTCCGTCTCACAGCAAGAAGGTCTTGGCTTTGATTCCTGACTCAGACGCTGCGTGGATTTTTTATGTTTTCACCCTTGTGTTTGTGCATGGGTTTTATTCAGGTTCTGCAGTTTCCTGTCATAGAAAAAAAACATAGAATGTTACTGGTATTAGCCAAACCTCCAAATAACTTGTTTGGGATTACACATAGCATTGTCACCAGCTACTGTGAAAAACTTGGCAGGAACCTCCAGAAAAATTGTCTTGAGACTCAGTGAGACCTTACTGGGTAAACAAGCGTTTAGCATTCTAGATCCAGGGAAGTCAGGCACATTCAGGGTGGTTTGGTCATAGGCTACATGTGAGTACACAGGCTGTACTCATCTAACGTCAGGCTTTTCTGCAGCTTGGTGTTGTTGCTAAATCAAATTTAGTTCTAATCCTATGGGATTCGAATGCAAAATGTCAAGAATTCCAAAATTGACAGCATAGCTCCGTGAATCTGCGCTTATGGTACATAATCCAAAATAGGTCGCTCTGCTCAGAGCTGCTGCCGAGAGCCGTCATGGAGAGTCATTCCGGGTGGCTGTGGTTTACTTTCACGTCGCACTCTCTGAGTCTGATGCAAAGGCCCTAATTTCCGTGTACTCTCTTCATTGTGGCTTTGGCAATTGGCCCAATAAATATGTTTTATATTCTGCGGAGACAAAAGGGAGTTCAGCTTTTATTTGCTTTTTCCATAACATGGCCAGGTGGCACAGCGGAAGAGCGATTGGCTCGGAATTGGAAGGTTTAGAGTTCAAATCCTGGTTCGATGGTGGACTGAGTCCATTATCCCTCCAGGGTCAATAAAATGAGTACCACTTTGGGAAGAAGTCAAAAGCGGTTGTATGGATCACTTGCTCCTCTCCTAGGAAGGTGGAATCTCTATCACTGGCCCAGGGCTGTAAATGGATGATCACCACATCAGTGTTTATTTGAGCAGGAAATCGCTGGCTGCGTCTTATTATTTGCAATATCTTTCGTTTTGCTCGACGGCAATGCACAATGAGTTAATCCATGATCATTTGCTCGGTTGTTTGGTAGGGTGTGCTCGGCGCTGTGCAACCCCAACTCGTGCTCGCCGGACCCAGAGAGTATGCGCAGTCTCGTGTCGCTGGCTTGCGCCGGCGGGAAGCCCCCGTTGAGCCTGGCAGGTTCACGCTCTCCGTTCCCCTTCCTCACTGCTGTCCTCCTTGTGCTCAACTCCGCAGCCTCCATTCATAAGGGGCTTACGGCCAAGGTGCGTCCAATGTGCTCTGTAAAAATGACGCTATTTTTTGCTTGAATAGCGTCTCAAGACGTTTTACAAAAATGAGAAGAAAACTATGTTTGGATGGAAGGTGTGTTAGGGGAGATTTGGACAGGGAAACAGGAGAAAGGGAAGAGAGAGCAGCACTGCGGCACAGCCCAGGAAGAGACAACCGTGGCCTCGTGCCAACAACGGCGAGCCCTGGGGACAGCGTGGGCAGCCAGGGTAGCACGAACGAACCCTTTGTGCCTTGCGGGATCCCGTGCGGTTTTCATGGTAATGATTGAGAGCCCTTTGTCAATCCACTGATGGATGAAGGCTCCCGCATACTGTGCTGGTCACGGGACTTAGTTTGGTCATAATTCACACTGATCAGTGAAGGTTGGTTGAAGGGGATGCTCAGGGTCAGCTGTATCACACCAACAGCGTGCTAATCACTGTGCCACCGCTCCCACAGATGCAGTGCCATGCGTTTCATTTGTACATTGATGACAGGTTATTTGTTGTTCAATTTTCATGGTTTGCAGTTTGCAGGTTTGAATTGGCGAATTAGCTTTCATGTGCTTATTGCAATGAGTGATTATTGATATGTACCATGAATTTTGTAATTAAGCCACTGGATATCATACGCACGTGATGGTTGTGATTTGCAGAAGTCTTCATTGTGCATGATCACAAAGGCTGAATTTTGAGAAATATTGCTTCATGGTTATGGACTCATAATCATTATTAGATAACAGCCTGCCTTTTAGCAATGGGCATGTTCATCTCTATAGATGGCACTGAGCCAGTGGTGGTGCTGGTGAAACCACCGTCTTATGCTCTGTGCGGGCCTTCATAGGTGCTCTCTAACATCACTTGCCCAACAGCCTGTTACATTGGGCGACAGGGAGTCACACAGCAAGAAGAGCCTGGGTTGGATTCCAAACTCAACATGCCTTTCTGTGGAGACTTTTTGTGTTCTCCCCTGTTGTGCATGGGTTTTTCTCCAAGTTCTCTGATTTGCTCCCATAGCTAAAAAGCATACAATGTAACAGGTGTTGACCAAACATCCAAATACTGAACATTTACCTGCAAATTACTCAATTGGGATTACACACAGCAATAGGGATGAATACCCATGTTTGCCGTGGATTTAAATGTGCGGATGCGTGTGTGGCTGGCTCTATGCCCCCCCCCCCCCCCCCCGTAGTTTGCGGTGCTGCTGGAGAGCGCCGCTCTGCAGGAATACCTGGCTGCGAGCTGCGACGGCGCAGCGAGCATCACGCACGCCTCGGCTTGGCTCCTGCGCCACGAGCACCACCTGCTCTTCCTGACGCTGGAGCTGGCGCGCATGGCGGTGAGCCCGCGCCGCTCATATTTTAAAAGATGTCTCATCGGGCGCAAGCTCAACACAGGATGCGTTGTCACCTACAAGTTTCCACTCCACGCCAGGCCACCCAGGGCCCTTTACCCCCAAGGGAGGTTAAGGCATATCGCGGTTTCAATGACCTCATCGCAGCGCCGGGCGGTTTACGTGAGCGTGCGTACACGTGCGATGCAACGAACGTTCGACGCTTCGCCCGTCCTCGGAAGTGCAGCTAGCATGGCACCAGCGTTGTGCTGACGTCACCCTCGCTTAGTGGCGATCGGCGGCTGCCGCCGCTGTTGCTGCCGTTGTTGTGCGACGCAGGTGTCGTTCAGCGAGGCCGCGCGCCGCGTCGCCCCGCTCTGCCACATGGTGGCGCTGGCGCTCGTCGGACGCCTCCTGCCGGGCAGCGAGCACCTGGCGCAGCAGCTGCTGTCGGGGATCCTCTTCAATCCCGACTTCACCCCGTGGGTCACCAACCCTCCCGCTCGCGTATAGTCCGTGCTTCCCACAACAGATGGTCTTTTCTTCTAAACAACGGAAGGTGGCGAAAGTTGTATAGTGCTACTAATGCGCACGGAGATGCTGCCGTGGTGCAATGGTTAGCACACTGGACTTGCGATACAGAGGTTGATGGTTTGACCTCCCCCGGCACGGCACATGAAAAGATGGACAAGCTTCTTAAATCCTCCTAGCTGTGTCCACTCGGCGTTATAAATGGGGACACACCACAAGTCGTGTGTGCTCGGTTAAGGTCTGGGCACTCCCACCACTTCCAAGATGTCTGGCCAGCTTGGAAGAGTTGTCGAAAAACTCTCTAGAGGGCTCTCAAGGGGCACCTCTTGTGGAGGCCCTCCCGTCAGCCACGGTGTGCGCAAGAAATTGCAGGGCCTTGTTAAATGTTCGTGGTTTGTCGTGACCTCCACATAACTGGTGCATTTATTTACATGGCCTCAAAAGGTGAACTTAGTGATGATGTTTTTAAATGAGTGGGTTGTCAAAATATACTCGTGTTGGCCATATAAAGAAAAAAGTTGCTGCTAAAGTTGTGCCAACTGAGGTGGTACCAATTTATGCTTTGGTCATAGAACTCATACGCACGTGTATACATTGGATGCTCAGAGATGCTTGGGTATAAGTAATCATAAGGATAGCCCAATAGCCTGGTGGTTTGGCTTGGTCACCGCTGAGTGTATGTGTGCATGGAGTTGATGAGTCAATTTTGGGCAGAGCAAGAATATGCCGATTTCTCCACTGCCACTAATGGGTCAAATCACGAAGGTGACATACTTTGGCCGTGTCATCAATATTTGAATCTTTCCTCATCTCCTTGATGCTTCGTGAATGTTCTATCTGAAGGGAAGGCAGGGTGGGTGGTCCAGAAGCTGCTGACCTGGAGGCCATGCTGTCGCTGAAGGAGGATCGAGGCCCTGAGCCCCTCGGCAGCCAAGGTGGCGAGGTCCAAGGGGGTGGGGAGCTCCTGACCGCAGCCTGGAAGGATCTGGCAGGGATTAGGGCCTGCTACCTCGCATTGCTGCTCGGGGGAGAGGAGAAGGCGTTGGAGAGGTCACAGGCACGATACCTCGGCCAGACCAAGCACATTGCGTCTCTGCTCCTCCCGCCCATGCAGGGCCCTCTCTACCCTGCGGACTGGGCTTTCCTGCCTCTGGTGCGGCTGTACCAAGCATCAGGCCAGCCCACCTCTGCCAGTACTTCAGGTATGCATGGAAAAGTTGGTTATTATAGTTTAGGTGATTATTTTAATATATTTTTTCATTTGTAATAATGGTTTTAATTTGACTCCGCACATTAGTTTCAGGCGGTGGCCCTTTCTCATAGCTAATGGAGAAAGGGCCATTGTTACTGATGAAGGTGTTTAGTAGTGTTATTGTACTTGTGCACTACTATCTAAGCAGTGTCACCACTTTTCTTTCTTCCCATTCAACATTTGTACTTCCGACATCAGGTCGCGAGACAATAACGTTTCCGTTCATAAATCTCCGATCTCGCCCCATCTTCGAGAACGTCCTGCGGACGGTGACGGTGAGAGCACCGCTGCCGAGGTCCCTCAGTTGCCTGGTTGGGGCGCTAGGTGGCGTGCCTTCTCCCATGAAGTGCTGTAGAGACGCTCGTTGCATGTCAAACAGATCCTTTTGTTTTAATCCTCTGAGCGAGAATATTCTGTCGGCAATATGGATAGTATCCTGGACTTTGTCAAGTTAGGACCCAATGAAAACTATTCCGTCTGTGGCATCGGGGATATGGATGAACGTAGCTGTCTAATGCACATTCATCAGTTTTTTGGTTTTGGAGTTATGGTTTCATCATGGGATATGAGCTATAACATCAGTACACTTTTGATAATGATGTCACGTGGTATTTAACTTTGACCATGCACTACAGTCACACTGGCATATACCACTTTCACAAGCAGTTAAACAGCCCACGTCCTCTACTTTTGTAAAAGAACATTAAGTCTCGCGTTCATTGTTAAACACTTTAATTGTCATATTCTTAGCTCTTTCGGTAAAGTCACGTTGAAGGGAAACAATAAAGTAATAAAATATATACAAAACAATATTGTTTCATTTTTTTATTGTTTCCCTTCAACGTGACTTTGCCGAAAGAGCTAAGGATATGAATCGCTGCAGTCACGAAAGCTTTAAATCAGAACTTTAATTGTCGCCACATTTATCCAGCGGACGCCTCCGCTGTTCCCGTGGACCCCAGGGCCGCCAGCGTGGCCGCGCTGCGCTGGCTGCTGCTGCTGGAGACGTGGCGCCACGGGGCCCTGGCCGGCATCTCCGCCGCCGCCAAGTTGTGCCGCCTGACGTGCGTGTTCCTGGCGGGCGACGGGAGCCTCTTCCTGGATCCGCCGGTGCGCGCGGGGCTCGCCGCCCTGCTCGGCCTATACTGCCGCCCCCGCGCGCTCGACGCCCTGCGGCTCGATGGGCCCGTCGCCGGCGTGCCGGCCTTCTACGACCTGTACGTGGAGCTGCTCGAGCAGTTCGAGGCCGCGTCGTTCGGCGACGCTCTCTTCGGGGCCTTCGTGCTGCTGCCGCTGCAGCGCCGCTTCGACGTCCGGCTCAAGCTGGTGCTGTTCGGGGAGCACGAGGGGGCGCTGCGCTCGCTCGGCGTGCCCATCAAGCAGGTGGCCGCTCCGGCTGCTCGCAACCACGTGACGATTCAGTCAGTTGTCACTGTTCAGGCTCATTATTTAATTTGTGATTTGATTCATCACTTTATCTCTTGTATGGCTTGCCAATTGTAGTAGTCCAGCACCGTGCTCAAAGAGTCTTGACACTCAAATCTTGAGAATCATTGAGGCTTTGCTGGGTAGATGAAGTGCATATCCTTACTGTTATTATACAAGTTTTTTTTTTGTTCATAAAAGCTTTGTTCCATTGCATTATAGAATAAACAAATGGCTATGGGACCGTTTCACCAAGTTATTGAATAAGGACAGTGAATACACTATAAAACAATTGTTTGCAGTTTTTACCACAAGTACGTGTGGCTACGCAGACATTGATGCCTTTGTAATTGGTATCTGTTTGGTGTTTGGACATTTTAACACCTGTAATTGTCAGAAATGGTAAACAATTATAATTATATTATGAAAGTATATATTGGTTAAACAACGACTAGAAGCTTTATAACGACGATATTTTTTTTCATTTCAAATCGTGCGTGTTGTGAGTGTATTTGCGGACGAATGTAAGGAAATCGTTGCTGCGTGCACCGTGGTTGGCGGGGGGGGGGGGGGCTCACGCCGCCCGTGTGTGCGCAGTTCCCTGTGGGCCTGGGGCGCTACACCGAGCCGGCGGAGACGCACGTGGGGCTCCTGCGGCTCTACTTCCGCATGCTGGTGACGGGCTCGCTGCGCACGGCCTGGTGCCCTGTCCTCTACGCCGTGGCGCTGCATCACGTCAATGCCTTCATCTTCTCGCAGGAGCACGGCGACCATGTGAGTACGTGCACGGGCAGCGTCGCCAAAACTCCGTTGGCCCTCCACTACCGTCTTTGTGATCTTTGGTGCGAAGAACTCGAAAGTCAAAGCGATTTACTGCTTTTTCAGTTGAGCACTGAGGTGGTGCTCATCCTGCCGTTTACAGCCCTGAGCTGGTGAGGTATATGGCCGGAGCGAGTCTGCCCATAGGTCGACTGCGGTTGACTTTTCCACAAATTGGTATTTATTTTTATCCACTCCTCTGAGATGATGGGCTGAGTCAAACCCCAACCGGGATTTTGAACGGGCAACATTTCTATGGCGAGTCTCTCACTCTACTGCTGAACGTCTTTTGCACCGTACATAGCCAACTGTGCTAATTGGAGGTGCGAAATATACAAACGGCAGGTTCGGATTATGCTCCAGATGGTATTCGATCTGGAGGTGAACTGCCAGCCGATTTGTGCTGCTGGAAATTACATGTGCAATATTTAAAATTCCTCTTGTGATACACTTGCTTGTTTATTAATTGTTCTCCTTTTTGTCATTTTGGTGACCGAGGTCACTGAGATTGTCCTAGTCACTTGACTTCTAATCTGTTTAAACAAATAAATTACTACGACCTCGCTTGACCAACAGAGTCAGCTCTGGAGTCACTAAAATTAGTACCAGTTTGCGGAAAGTTGACAGTGAGTGTCCAATGGATAGTTTATTTGCTGCCATAGGAATGTGGAATTTACACCACTAGCAAATGATTGTACATGACAGGTGAGCTATGGGCCATGCTGGTTTGAGTGGGGAAACTGCATGAACTTGCATTCTTTTGAAAACGAAGGTGGCGTTCGGTTGATGTTCCTTCTATTGATTCGTGTGTTGTGTTCTGCAGGGATATAAGTCGTGTGAGTGGTGCCACGTGGGGCCTGGCATTGTGGGCTGTGATTGCCGTGTCACTTTAATGCAATAATGAGACCCCTCGTGACAGAGCTGAATGTGACATTAGGTGGCACGTTCCTGGGGAGCTGGGTGGTATTTTTGATAATGCAAGGAAAAGCCCATTTGTTTTTGCTAGCGTTTAGCAGATGTGTGGAATTGCACCTCGCTCAAATTAAATGTTCTGCTGGTCATCATGCTGTATTCCTTTCAGCATTATTACCCGATTAGCATTTACGACATTGTCTCCATCATTTTGTTTTCTCCAAAGGACATTCTGAAAATGAAGAAGCGCATGTTGAGACAAATTAATGCCCTTCAAGATAAGGTAAGATTAATTTTGAGTTGTAATGTATCTTACTACCTGGTTTAACCATCTTAGCTAATATTCTCAGATGACACTCCTAACAAAACAAGTCAAGAAAACCATATTGCTGGTAAAATTACGTGTTTAGATCAACTAATGCGAACTAAAATAATTGACAACGCTTCGTCAATCCACTACTGGATTGACGGAGGTGGTAACCACTTTGAGTAGGTTTCACGAGTACGAATTGCTCAGGTTTTTGGAACCGTTAGCGGTTGTCATGCTAAACGTTCCAGTCAGCCTTCAGTGTTGCCAAACATTGGGCAAAAGTTTCAAGATCGACTGCAAAGCATGACTGCAATGAAGGACATCCAAGCGTATAGATAGGAAATAATGAGACTTGTTGTTTTCCTACATTTAAGATGTACAGCCGTATTTGTCGTTAAGACACATTACTTTAAAACCAGCACGAGACGTTACAATAACCCGGTCCCGTTGGAATAACGATCAAAGCGTTTCACTTGACGAGGGATGCCTTCTGCTGGAAGCAGCAAAATAGTTGTAATTAATTGCCGAGTACCTTGAGCTGGGGCAGGGTTGACCAAACACATTTGAGAGTGGTAGTGGAGCTGTAAGACCTTGCTGAATGTCCTCTCTTTCTGTGCGTTGTGCAGGTCCTGCGAAGCCACCTGCTTCTCTACAAGCTCCCCAATGCCTCCGATAACCTGGGCTTTGACCTGTACGAGCAGCTGCCACCTATCCGGCACAAGTGGCTGCAAAGCATTTTGTGATAGGGGGGGCAGCACTGCCAACGGTGGGAAACTGCATCAAGAAATGTGAACTTGACATTAGAATGCGTGTGTTTGAGGTGCGAGTATTTATAAACACGCAGACTGAAAGAAACCACTGAGATTTTGTTTGATTTTGCACCTCCTGGAAGAGAGCAATCCGAGCAAGACGGGAAAATTGTATGGCGGCTTTATTGTAACCTACTTTTGTATGTTTTGTGTGGACGTTGTTCTTAGAACCTGCCAAACAAAATTGCTAAAAATTAACAGCTGAGGTTTAAATGGCTGCTCCTGTTTCCTGTACTTAAAATAATAAACTATTTTAGTGTTTCCTCAGCACTTCATGATGTGCGTTGTTCAATGTAAGTGACGTACGCATGTTCACACCCATTCAGACACTTGAAGGTAAAATAATTCACCTCCTTTTTGTGTCAAACCTGGTAGGAACAGAGCTTTCATTAATTATTGCAGCACTTTATTTTAATTGGCATTTTCAGGTCAGTTTTTGCTCGGGGCCCTTTAGACGATAGTTATTGTTTTATCTGCAGCCTACGTTCACTCATATATTTACACCGAAAGCACTCGGTGTGCATCATGTGAACAAATACATTTTCTTGTTTATCATAATTGGGCCATAGTTTATTTCGGAAATCTTCAGTCTTAAGACTTTTTCAGGAGGGTCTTGCATTGGGATGTTTGACACATCCCTCTGCCGGAGTGTTTTGCTGGAAGGAAGAAACCGGAGTTCCTGGAAAAAGTTCACCCACAAAAATGGATATCAGAGATCCAAACAGATCTGTTTATAAACCTACTTGGCATACTGCTATCTCTGAGCTACCTGACAACACACTGGGTTTGGATGTTTCCCAAATCTACATGAGCCACCAACAAGAATAAATGAAAATATATTTTCAGCCCATTGTCAATCCACTGCTGGATGAAGGCCTTCCTACGCTGCGCTGTTAGTGTGGGAATTGTTTGAACACCACACTGGTTTGGGTTGGTGAAGGAGGGCCCAGGACCATTTGAGATATCACTCGCCACCCGACGTTATCGCACCTCCGATAGGCACCATTGCCTACGTACGGTGCGAAAGAAGTTTAAAATACAGCCATGGCTGGGAATCGCCTGGTTTGTAGGGCAGTGCCTGAAGCACTGCACCACCGCTCACCACTACATGTTAATAATTTAATTATTAATGTATAATTACAAAGGAAGACTTTGTCTAAGTCCTTAATTTAATGTTTAAGTTCTGGTTTGTGTCTAAAGTTAGCAAACTTTACAGTTTTATTCATAGTTCCACATTTCAGGATTGTGTTCCCAGCCATGTGCCGTCATGATTTGTTGTTGACGGCGATGAGCCGCTAACCTTTTCGCAGAGGCGCGGAGGCTGTATTCGCCAGCTCATTAAAGCGCAATGGATGATGCCTTTCCCCCGAGCTGTGCAATGTTCGTACAATGCGCTCACTATTGCCGGGGAATGTGGAGGCATGTGCACCGGCTGGCCTGTCAAGACACCGAAACAAATGCCGCCATCGGCAAACTGTGATCGTGTACCCCGTGTGAGGTGTGTTTATACTCGGCCGATCTGCCAGCCCTCAGATCTTCTTTGCTCTTAGTCCAAAGCGAATAGCTCTGAAGAGCAGATGCACGCTCAAGCGTGCAAAAGCGATGGTTAATTTTTAGATTAACGCAAATACACTCGGCCGTGGGCTCGATTACCGGCTTGGTGGGTCAGTGCCGGGGCATTCCTGCGAGCGGGAGGAGAATGGGGAAGCCACGATCATGCGTGGGACGCGCGCGACCCCTGCGCGGGAAGCCGGAGGTCGCCGTGCCGGCGATGGCGCTGCTGGCGCTGCTGGCGCTGGGTCTGTGTGCAGCAGCAGCAGCAGCAGCAGCGGCGGCGGCGGCGGGGGCGGCGGAGTGTCCGTCCGCGTGCCAGTGCTCGCCGCGCGCCAACCGGCCGGGCCTGCAGGTCGAGTGCAAGACGCGGGGGCTCACCGCGGTGCCGGCGGCGCTGCCACGAGCCACCGAAGTGCTCAACATGGGTGAGGGTTCTAGCACCGCTTCTCGCAACGCAGGGCTTGGTCGCGGTTGTAACCTGATGGTCGCAATTCATCACTCTTGCTGCTCGGTGGATGTCCTCTTGGTTGCCATCATTCGTCTTGATCGCTGGCCTTCATTCTCACCATTTGGTCTGCCTAAGCCCACTTTTCTTAACAGAAATATGACCACTTTTACTTGTCTATGTGTGTTGTGTGCTCCAAGTTCTGGATTTCAGTTGTAATTCCAAGTAGGCGTCTCTGTGCATTTTTCACCTTTTCCATATTATTTGTCGGTGTTCGTGTTTACGATCCATGTCTTAGCATGGATCGTTAACTTTATTTTTAGGCTCATTGGTAAACACGCCAGAGTATGAATATCTAGGGCAGTTAGTGCAGGCAAACGGGTCATAATGATGAAATGTGGACGGTAGCAAGCTGGAGTGTTTTGTAAAACTGACAGTTACAATTGCACGATAGCCACATCTGAAGATGCTTTACAACAGTAGCAAATTAACTCTGAAGACGAATAAAAATATTGGGAAGAACTTTTATGGTTTAATGTGCTACAAGTAGCAGTTTCATAATGGATAAGGGTTCACGCAGCATTTACAAGGTCGTTGATTAAACCACGTTATCTGTATTTACTTTTTGTGGGATTTATGTAGGACCAGATTTTTTTGCTGAATTATTATACTGACAGAAAATCTGAAATGTTGCATAATATGCAGGTGATGTTAACTTCATTGCCAGATTCTTGTCCCAAAAGATCATCCAATAAGCCGTTTGTAATTCGGTTACGGTGCCGCGCAATGAAGTTGTTTGAATCAACGTTATCGTGCCCTTGCCAAATATTGCGATTTCGCAGCTGTAAAAAATCGAATACTGTTAAATTAATGATAATGTAGTTAGACTTTACACAGATTTAAAGCTACATTTCTGTTACACATAATTGGAGGCACTACACATTTATTCCACGTAGCATAATTTAATACCAAGTGCCCATTTAACTCACTTTGGTCATTAAAGACGTTAAGTAAGTGTGGCATGTAATTGCACATCGGTTTATTTAGACCGCGGTGTATTAGGCGAGTTGCCTGCCAGCCTCATCGTTCCCCTCACGCTCGCTCCCCCCTGTGACAATGGTGACCATGACGAAGGCCAGAACAAGATCGGGCGCCTGGGCGCGGGGACGCTGAGGAAGATTCCGAACCTCCGCAGCCTCAACCTGGAGCACAACCGGCTGAGAGAGCTGCACCCGGACGCCTTCGCCGGGACCACGAAACTCGTGACCCTCAACTTCTACGACAACCAGCTGGGGGAGCTGCCCGCCGGCGTCTTCCGGAACCTCGTCTCGTTGCGCTACCTCCTCATCGGCAAGAATCAGGTCCTCTCGCTGCAGCCCGATGCCCTCCGCGGCCTGGGCAACCTCACCGACCTGGACATGCCGCTGAACAACGTGTCGCGCCTGCCGGCGCTGCTCTTCCGGCACGCGCCGCGCCTGCGCGTGCTGGACCTGGCGTACAACCGCGTCACGCGCGCCTCCCCGCTCGCGCTGCGTGGCCTGCGCCGGCTGGAGCTGCTCAACCTGGGCGGGAACCGTCTGAGCGCAGTGCCGCCCGGCCTCTTCACGGGCCTGCGCCGGCTCGACATGCTGGTGCTCGACAACAACCGGCTCGCGGGCGTGGGCGGGCAAGCGCTGCGTGGCCTGGCCGTTCTCACGCAGCTCTACCTCAGTAACAACCGCCTGCGGCACGTGGCGCCGGCCGCGTTCCGCCACACGCCGAGACTCACACAGCTGGCGCTGAGCGGGAACTGCCTCGCCACGCTGGATGCCGGCGCGTTGGCGCGACTGTCCGGTTAGAGCGCGCACCCCCACGGAAAACACCCGTGTCCGGGAGCAGCGGCTTATTATCATCACGATTACCTGTAATAAAAATGTGTCGCTTGGAAAGTTCCTTGAGATGGAACGTCTCAATTGCAATGGTGACCAGAGGGTGTCCAGTGACACACAGCAAATATGTAATGACCACACGTATACAAACATACTAAGAGGATAATGACAAAGATCCCACATGTAGCCTGTAACAGACTATTTAGACAAGTGCTGTTGGCATCTCGGTTTCAGCCGCCTTTGGTTAAAAACGTGTTCTCAATTGCAGTGGGCTGAAGGTCTCAGCCCGGTCACCAATGACTGCACAAAAAAACCCCATCACATTCAATTTGTTTCTGCACAAAGTTTCCGTATTCAAAATCCTGAAGTTTATTTTCTAGTTGGTTTTGCTCAAGTTGTCAGTGTCATTAACCCCGAGCCCTTTTCACAGAAAGCAATAGACTAGTGAGACCGCTCTGACTAAAACATTCAAAACTAAACATTCTCAAGCTTTGGGGTTGGCAGTACTTTATGCCAAATAAATAACCGGAATCAACATTTCCCTGGATTGTTAATTTAAGTAGAATGTATTCAATCAGCGTATCTTCTTTGATATTAAAATGACGACTTCTTCATAATGTAAGCGTACAACAGCAGGGGAAACGTTTTGAGCAATGTCTCTGTCTCAGCTCTCAAGAGAGAACAGTGCAATTGCCCGTCAATAGCTTGTGGTGCTGATGGTGGGCAATCAGCAGGGCTTTGGAGATGCCACCGGCACAGGGCAGGAGTAGTGGGAAACCGCGGGTGAGGTGGGAGAATTGTGGAAGGCCGTAGTGGAATGAGATGCGAGGGCTGGATGGGACTTGAATAGAATGGATAAAGAAAATCTAAGCAGCTGCCTCCATGCAATAGGAATGTTGTGTCATTAGAGGAACGTTTTAAATCAGTTCATACTACACGTGGTTAAGAAGCATGGTTCTGGAATAAAATGGGACAATGCTCAAAGAAGCATGGAGAAATGCATGCTTGGAATTCTATTGATATAAAGAGGAACACGTGCATGAGATAATCTACGCAGAGTGTTGGAGCAATTATGATGTCCACTTCTGTGCAAGTGCTAGGTGGATTGTCACATCATAGGACCATCAGAGGTGGTATCAGCTATGGAGAGGCCTTTATCCAGCAGTGGGTTGACCCTTGCCGTTGACCATGATGATGGCTTAGAAGGATTGGTGGAAGGTCGGTTGCTCGCTCAGTTGTGTGTGTCTGTGTGTGTGTGTGTGTGCCGCTGTTGGCACAGTGGGGAGCGCAGGTGGTGTATCTGTCAGCCATCGCAATCTCGTGACCTGCCAGCCTTCCACATTTCACGTGGCCTAAAGCTCGCCGAGCCTGGCACGAACGGCGTGGCGACGCCTGTGGCGAATGGCGGGCTGTTGTTGTTGTTGTGCTGCTGTGCGCACCTTGCAGGGCTGCAGCAAGTCTTCCTGCACGACAACCCGTGGCGCTGCGACTGCTCCGCAACGCCGCTGCTGGGCTGGCTGCTGAACTCGCGCGTGCGCCTCTTCCCCAACTCGTCGCTCGTGTGCGCCGCACCGCCCGGCGTTCGGGGCCAGAGCCTCCACGCACTGTCACCGTCGGCGCTGGGATGCGAGCGCAGCCGCTCGGCCCCACGCGCCCGCCTGCCCGCGCGCCGCGGCTAAAATCCGCTGAGCAGCACGGCTCGAGCCCCCGTGGCAGAGGACCATCTGATACGTAGTGGAGTTCTATAGCGCAGGGCTGGGGAAGCTTTCACACCCTGCGGGCCGAATAGGACTTCCAAATACCTTTGGCGGGCCACGCATCGGCACACAGGGTCGCGTTATCCAATAATGTCAACGGGAACGCGCATGTTCACCGAGTGTAGGGGGGCCCTTGCAGTGGCAGAAGTGACTTAGCACAGCGCTGAAACGATACACGCAGCGTTGTTGCCAGGTCATAAATATTCCCCTCTAGTACCCGATTAGTGCTACTAGGCTGCGTGCAGTGATGGATAAATATCGTTTGCAGACTGTTTTGAAGTGGCAAGCCTCATGTGTCCACGGTCACATGAAATGATTTCACGAGCCACCCCTTAGCATATATATGCGACACAACATCAAGATATAGTACGGAAACAGTGGGCACATTTATTTTGTAGAGTCAGTCATAGGAAAAATAACGGCACCACCATCTGTCGAATGCAACACTTCTGGAGGTGGCTGGGTGTTTCAGATCAGCACTGAGCCAGTACTTCTGATTTCTGAGTTTGAAATGGGTGTCAGCCGTCTGTGATTAAACCAAATTGTCAAATGTAGTGAGTTGATGGTCTCATGATTATTAGCAATGACTGTACCCAGATTCATTATATCAAAATTAGTTTTTTCACCTGTTTGGTAAAATCCAGCTCCCAGAATCAAAAATATGAGTGTGGCTGCCACATAGCGAGCATCTGTATAGCAGGGTGTGTGATAGCGTGCAGTGCCTCTCGTACAGAGGGGCCACTTGAAGGGGTCTCAGAACTAGTTCTGTGATATCCCTTTCTGTGGACCGTTCTCTAACATGGGGTGATGCTTTGCTCTGAGAGGGTTCAAATTAACATTTCTTTAATTTTGGATTTGACACAGCGTACGTGGAATTAAATTGTCTTTTTTACAATAAACACTTCAAGAAGGTGGACATGATTATTAATGCTAACTATATTTATCGTTTATTTACATTTACTCAAATACATATTTTTGAAAATCACATCAGTAACTGTATTCGCCAGTATTTTATATATTTGAAATACTCTGTATTCAAAAGAAGGCTTTTATTATTATTCTGCTTGTTTACCCAGGAAGGGCTCACTGAGTCTCAAGACTCTCTTTCAGGAGGGTTGTGCCAAGTTTTTTAAGAGAGGGAAATGTTGCTGTTTAATCTCAATTGAGTAATTTGCAGGTCTTTTTTAACATTGGGATGTTTGGCCAATATAGGCTCCATTGTATAGATTTTTAGTTATGGGGGGGAAATCGGAGAACACAGAGGAAACCGATGCAGAACAGGGGGGAGATCATTAAAACTCCACATTGAAAGATGCCCAAGTCGGGAATATAACCCAGACTCTTCTTGCTGCGAGGCACGAGGATTACCACTGGGCTACCCTGCCACCCAAAGACCGAACCCAAAAAGCAAACGTGTTATCTTGTGGATACACACGTCGGTGGCGTGTTCCAGACCGTCTGGTGGCACTCTGAAACGTTAATGATGAAACACATTAAAGTGACTGTGGGAGTGCCTGCCAGTCTCGCTATGGCCGACTCGTATCATCGGTGATACAAAGGCACGGCAGTGACATCACTCGAGTGCTGTACGGTGCTCCAGAGAGTCACTTGAAATTGTTTTCTTTTTTCATTAATGAAGCATCAAGGCTGTGTGGGACGGCCCGCGACGCGCACCGCCTAGGTGTGCATCTGCGAAGGCCGGAGCGATTCACCTCTGGCCACAACACAAATTGCCTCGATTCTCGTGGGCATGTCCTGGTGATGATTGTGGCCACCGTGGATCCAGCCGATCGGTGTAACTGTAAGACCCTTTGCACGTACGGACGTTCAATCAGAACTACATCTTTCTGTAAGAATTTAACACTTAGCCCCTTTATTGTGTCATAAAATCTCCATATTTTTTTCCAAAAAACGCGGTACTCTATTTATCCAGGCATTATTCCGATACTTCACTCTGCGCACATTATTCTCGTTATATAATTCGCAACCGACGGTTATATAATGCAGCACAAGAGTTGTATTGTTTTGCCGGTAATGAGCATGGGAGAGTGTTTACAGGCTGCAGACATCCACGTGGACTTTCTTCAAAGGGGTCACCTCTGGCTCGAAGTGATGAATAGTTTTGGCATGCAGGCGAGAACTTCGGAGGAACCCAGCGTTTTTCACAAAGTGGTGCTGGATTGGGTATAATGCTGCATAACATACTTTGAAGTGAAGGCAATATTTAAATAATAAAATGATTTATCGTTCAATTTCCATTAAATATTTAAAAACCTGAAGTGTGCATGTTTAATTGGATATCTTGCACAGCCTTGACGGTCGACTGTAAATCTGTCTATGAGTGAAGTTCGCACATCTATAGAAATCCCTGTGATTCTCTGTTGATGGCTACGTCACGGCGTCCGTGTCTCAACAAATAACGTTTAAATTATGCATTGTGTGCCGCGCCTGCAATTTAAACAAAAAATGCTGTTAAACTACAGTTGACTGTCATCTCTGTTATGGATTTAAAGGTGCTGAATGGAGATGCGGCTGTGTGGTCTTGGTACAGTATTAGTTACAGAATGCAGGACATGTTATTTTTTTATTTGAATTTCTGAAAGGGTGCACTTGACATCAGCACTGTGCCAGGCTACTGGGAGCTCCATCTGTTATGGTGACTAACCTCACACTGGGTACACAAAATCTAGACTCGGTCCAAATGGTTTCGTTTATTGGGGTGTAACGTTAAGCCGCTTTTATGAATGAGATGTCCACGTACGGCTGTCGTGTCAATCTACGACTGGACGAGGGCCTCCCCCACGCCGTGCAGGCCATGGTAGTGATTTGACTTCACCTCAACTCTGGTGAGTGCAGGTTGGTGAAAGCGGGGAGCATATAGACCTTGGGGTATCGAAGTCAAGTACCTGACTAATTATTTTGCTGAATTGCCCTCTAATGCCCATCACATAGCCCACCACTATGGCAACCTGCTTGTGCGTGGTGGTCACACATGCGAAGACTATCCAGGTTCAGCCCTGCTTAGACTTGAGCTCCTGAATGTTGCTAGAGTACTACTGTAATGGGTTCAACTGAATCGCAGACGTAGACTTGGAGGCAACACATTTTATTCAGTTCCAACACACGGGGTTACTTCCCCTTAACAGAATAACAACCTAAGGTGGTGACCACCAGGCTAACTACACTAGTTACAACACTAGTTACACTAGTTACAACGTGACTGGTGTAGTTAGCCTGGTGGTGACCACCAAGCTAACGTCACTAGTTACAACATAACTGTTATTACGGACCGGGACCAACGACTTCAGCCCAGGTCCACGTGTTGCAGACTCGTTGAACAGAGAGCGTAGATGAAGGTTTCTTCCAGGATGAACAACAACCCCAGTCCCTCTCGGGACCCGGCTTAAATTCTCTGTGGCGTGGCGGGCTCCGCCCCTTGGCCACGCCCACCTTCCAGAATCCTCGGGAAGGATCTGGGTCCCAATCATGTGACCCCCACTAACCCCCTCTTGGGGCCCCTCTGTCAACTTAACCAGTCACGTGTCCTCCCGGATCAACCAGAGTGCCATGGCCTCACACAACCCCATCCTTCGGGCGGCACCCACACACCGTGTCCTGTCGGGTCGGCACTGCACTTACAGCATGGTGCCATCCAGCGCTATTATTTAGCGCACACCGTGCGCCTCTAGGGCCGGAGCTGCACCCACAGCATGGTGACACCCTGCGATGTCACTACACTATTAAACACCCAGGACGTCGTTAGCGTGAGGACGCATGCCGCGGATGCATTGTGATGTGGGGCGTCGTTTGGCAATGGATCCCGCAAGCTCGTGCAGATTGTGACGGACGTCACGCGTGCCTCATTTGATGATGATAATAATAATTGACATTTACAAAGCGCCCTTAAACAATCGTTCTCAGGTTGCTGCGCGTACATTTCTCACGTCGCTACTTTTCTCCGTGCCCCTCGGGCTGCCCCCTCGTCCACCGCAGACCAAACCCGGATATATTTTTCTGTCAGCCTAGGTCTTTCAGAACTGTGTAGTATCCTGTAATAAGTCTCAGCACAATCCCAGCAGATCTCGGTACAAATAAATTCCTGTCACTCGGAACACGAGAAGCCAATCGCCTGACTGTCCGGGGCAAACCCGGAGAGGTGGCAACCCAACGTCTGCTCCCTGGCAGCAACGCAGAGACCTCCCGTGTTAGCCAGGGCAGCTCCAGGTTCATATCCGCGGCTCCGGTCCGAGTCACGGAGGTGATACCTGTCGGGCAGCAGGCGAGGCAGCTTGGCGTGATGGCCTCGTGCCTCAAAGTCTGTTGCGCTCTGGGCCAGCGGACTGTGACTCGAACCGCCACGGTGACTGTGGTCCTTAGGAGTGCGTGATTAGTTGGAGCTGTCTTATCGTGTCATTTACCGCACGCCAGTCGCCGCCACCGCGCCAGATTATCCCCCAGTGCCCTCCACTGCCAGGCGTGTGGGTGGCGGAGGGTTACAGCGGAGCGCTGCTTTTCTTGATGCATAAATATTGCAGCCTTGGGGGAGGATACCTTGCTTGAAAAGGTTCTGCAGAATGTACGCTTCCTTTAACTGAGGAATACACAACCCAGCGATGCTGAACGAATAGCCATATCTACCAGGGGGCCCTTGCCTATAAATATCTGACTTAAATATTTCGTGACTGCAGGAATTCATATTCTTGGGTCTTTCGGTAAAGTCACGTAGATGGTTCAAAGAAAATAACCAAAAACTACGACGTTTCGATTACAACACAAGCGATCGTCATCAGGAGGAAAGATGACGATCGCTTGTGTTGTGATGGAAACGTCGTAGTTTTTTGTTATTTTCTTTGAACCATCTACGTGACTTTACCGAAAGACCCAATAATATAAATATCGGCCCCTTCACCAGCATTGCTTCAAGCAAGGCTGACTGTTGATTAGACAATGAATGTCCAAACCGAAGTTTACTTGTGTTGAACCAATGTTTCTGAAATTGTAGACACCGAAAGGTTGTTTCGCTGATGGGATGTGTAAATACTGTAAGTGTTTTACGTGGAGAGGAGGCAGAGTATCCGCTGAGCTGACCATCCCCCCTGTAGAATAGCCATAATCACGGTAGATCTGGCAGAGTTACCGGTTAGACATGGGCGATCTGTTGTTGGCAAAAGTACTGGCATACATTGTTCTTGTGCTGCAATTAAACATTGGCTTTCAAAGTGCGGAAAGCGTTGCGTGACATGATTTGCATTTAATTTAGAATTATGGTCTAAAATTATGACCGTACTAAAGTTGAACAAAATTCTTCTGTCAAAATTACTGCAAAATATATACAGACAATGGCAGTCCGGTTTAGTGGCTTAAATAAAC